CCCCGGTTAGTACCTGGGTCTCGGCGGCCGGGATGCCGCTCTCCAGCTCACACAGCGCCCGGAAGTTCTCGAGCTCGAAGTCTCCGTCCACCTCGAGGGAGAAGGTGATCTCGGTGAGGTCTCTCCGGACACAGTACACGGTGAGCAGCATGGCGGCGGCAGCTCGGGGCCCAGGCCGGATGTTATGGTTGGTTGGCAGCCGGCAGCTCCTCGCGGACACCGGAAGCTCGATTCTCGGAAGGGGCGGGGTGGAGTGCGCATGCGCGGCCGTCCAGGCTGCATCACCTGATACCTAGCTCCGCCCACTCTACTGTTTCACTGCTGGAGAAAGGCTAGAAATCCCCAGAATCCTCAGCGCGCAGTGAATGCTGAGACAGGTCAGGGAAGAAATCACACAGAACCATGGGAGGGAGAAGGGGGTTAATGGACAATGTATATCCAGCATTACCTCACATGGGAGGGGGAGAGTGCCTGAGAACCAGATCACCTCCCTCCCCTCAATATTATACTGAGAACCAGATCACCTCCCTCCCCTCAATATTATACTGAGAACCAGATCACCTCAGTCACCTCAATATTATACTGAGAACCAGATCACCTCAGTCACCTCAATATTATACTGAGAACCAATTCACCTCCCTCCCCTCAATATTATACTGAGAACCAGATCACCTCCCTCCCCTCAATATTATACTGAGAACCAGATCACCTCCCTCCCCTCAATATTATACTGAGAACCAGATCACCTCCCTCCCCTCAATATTATACTGAGAACCAGATCACCTCAGTCACCTCAATATTATACTGAGAACCAGATCACCTCAGTCACCTCAATATTATACTGAGAACCAGATCACCTCAGTCACCTCAATATTATACTGAGAACCAGATCACCTCAGTCACCTCAATATTATACTGAGAACCAGATCACCTCCCTCCCCTCAATATTATACTGAGAACCAGATCACCTCCCTCCCCTCAATATTATACTGAGAACCAGGTCACCTCCCTCACCTCAATATTATACTGAGAACCAGATCACCTCCCTCACCTCAATATTATACTGAGAACCAGATCACCTCCAGTCACTTACTCCAATATTATACTGAGAACCAGATCCTCCTTCCCTCAATATTATGCAGAAGAACCAGATCACCTCCCTCCCTCTAATATTTATACTGAGAACAGATCCTCCTGCCTCAATGTGTAGGGGAACAGATCACCTCAGTCACCTCAATATTATGCTAGGGAACCAGATCACCTCCATTTTCCCTCAATGTTATACTGAGACAGATCACCTCCCCTCCCCTCAATGTGTAGAGCAAGATCGCCTCCTTCCCTCAATATTATGCACGAGAACCAGATCACCTCCTCCCTCAATATTATACTGAGGAACCAGATCCTCCCTCTCAATATTATACTGAAGACCAGATCCACCTCCCTCCCCTCAATATTATACACAAGGAACCAGATCACCTCCCTCCCCTCAATATTATACTGAGAACCAGATCACCTCCCTCACCTCAATATTATACTGAGAACCAAATCACCTCCCTCCCCTCAATATTATACTGAGAACCAGATCACCTCAGTCACCTCAATATTATACTGAGAACCAGATCACCTCAGTCACCTCAATATTATACTGAGAACCAGATCACCTCAGTCACCTCAATATTATACTGAGAACCAGATCACCTCCCTCCCCTCAATATTATACTGAGAACCAGATCACCTCCCTCCCCTCAATATTATACTGAGAACCAGATCTCCTCCCTCCCATCAATATTATACTGAGAACCAGATCACCTCAGTCACCTCAATATTATACTGAGAACCAGATCACCTCAGTCACCTCAATATTATACTGAGAACCAGATCACCTCAGTCACCTCAATATTATACTGAGAACCAGATCACCTCAGTCACCTCAATATTATACTGAGAACCAGATCACCTCAGTCACCTCAATATTATACTGAGAACCAGATCACCTCAATATTATACTGAGAACCAGATCACCTCAGTCACCTCAATATTATACTGAGAACCAGATCTCCTCCCTCCCATCAATATTATACTGAGAACCAGATCACCTCAGTCACCTCAATATTATACTGAGAACCAGATCACCTCAATATTATACTGAGAACAAGATCACCTCACCTCCCTCCCCTCAATATTATACTGACAACCAAATCACCTCCCTCCCCTCAATATTATACTGAGAACCAGATCACCTCCCTCACCTCAATATTATACTGAGAACCAGATCACCTCCCTCCCCTCAATATTATACTGAGAACCAGATCACCTCAGTCACCTCAATATTATACTGAGAACCAGATCACCTCAGTCACCTCAATATTATACTGAGAACCAGATCACCTCCCTCCCCTCAATATTATACTGAGAACCAGATCACCTCCCTCCCCTCAATATTATACTGAGAACCAGATCACCTCCCTCCCCTCAATATTATACTGAGAACCAGATCACCTCCCTCCCCTCAATATTATACTGAGAACCAGATCACCTCCCTCCCCTCAATATTATACTGAGAACCAGATCACCTCAGTCACCTCAATATTATACTGAGAACCAGATCACCTCAGTCACCTCAATATTATACTGAGAACCAGATCACCTCAGTCACCTCAATATTATACTGAGAACCAGATCACCTCCCTCCCCTCAATATTATACTGAGAACCAGATCACCTCCCTCCCCTCAATATTATACTGAGAACCAGATCACCTCCCTCCCATCAATATTATACTGAGAACCAGATCACCTCAGTCACCTCAATATTATACTGAGAACCAGATCACCTCAATATTATACTGAGAACCAGATCACCTCAGTCACCTCAATATTATACTGAGAACCAGATCACCTCCCTCCCCTCAATATTATACTGAGAACCAGATCACCTCAGTCACCTCAATATTATACTGAGAACCAGATCACCTCAGTCACCTCAATATTATACTGAGACCCAGATCACCTCCCTCCCCTCAATATTATACTGAGAACCAGATCACCTCCCTCCCCTCAATATTATACTGACAACCAGATCACCTCCCTCCCCTCAATATTATACTGACAACCAGATCACCTCAGTCACCTCAATATTATACTGAGAACAAGATCACCTCCCTCCCCTCAATATTATACTGAGAACCAGATCACCTCCCTCACCTCAATATTATACTGACAACCAGATCACCTTAGTCACCTCAATATTATACTGAGAACCAGATCACCTCCCTCCCCTCAATATTATACTGAGAACCAGATCACCTCCCTCACCTCAATATTATACTGAGAACCAGATCACCTCCCTCCCATCAATATTATACTGAGAACCAGGTCACCTCCCTCACCTCAATATTATACTGAGAACCAGATCACCTCCCTCACCTCAATATTATACTGAGAACCAGATCACCTCCCTCACCTCAATATTATACTGAGAACCAGATCACCTCCCTCCCCGTTGAAGGATGCTCCTAGCACTTCCTGAGGGCTCCAAGCACTCCAGCTGACACCATAACCACCATAGACTCCCTCAGAAAGCAAGACAGGAACAAGCTCTTAAGAGAGCTTAGGAGTGATTATAGCAAGGGAGTATGCCTAGCATAGCAATCCCTTGTTGCAGAGTCCCCCAATAAGAGACGACACTCCAAATTGAGGGTGAAGTAGAACTGAGCTTTTATTCAAAAACTCTGCATTTATGCCCATTCCTCAACCATAGTACCGCCCACAGGGTTTTGAAGTACAACCAATCAATACGTACAATACACTCAGACACAAAATCCTCGCCTCTGCCTGTGATACAATTACCTTACACAATGGGTTAATGTAATTATCACAGGCAGAGAAATACAGTTTTTACACATGTACTATAAAACTTTAAAAATATACATTCAATCTTCATAAAAATGACATATTATTCAGCACACTTTAATTTTAAACAGTCAAAATTCAGCCAATTCCATCCAGAGGTTAAAAAGTTAGCTGGAAGTCCTTTTATGACCGACCGCAAGCACATTTCCATGCCCAAAACAGTTCCATGGATTTGGGCTCTGCGGTCGGTCTATTTCCAATGTTAAAGTCAGTTCAGACAAACAACCACCATTAGAATTGTCGAATGCATTAGTTCCAGGGAAGGTAAAACTTCAGCGGTGTTCGTGCCGTTCTGTAGCTGATTTTAGTTCCATGAGTTTGACGGCACACACCGCTGACTGCATTTGAATGATTCAACTTCTTCGGCTGCATCCAAAGTGCCATGCCAAAACTGCAGGTCCTTTCCCAAAGTACTTAACAGGCCAGAAACAGCACAATAAAATACAATACGCCCAAATAATGTCTTTAAAGGGCAATACATCCCAGGGGCCAGTGTCACATGGCCGGAGGCTGGCAATCAGTCTTCTCCAATACCCAGTGTCGAGGTCGGTTTCGCCACAACAGAGAACCAGTTCACTGGCAGAAAGGAGAGACTCACCTGAATATTATACAGAGAACCAGATCACTGGCAGAAAGGAGAGACTCACCTGAATATAAATTGCTATTTCCCTTAATTCAGTATATAGAGCCACAAACCTGTCTCCAAAGTATTCAGGGAGCCTTAACTTTCTACCAGGAAGTTATTGGCCTTCTTTTAGTATAATGCAACAAATAATCTGATGAAACAGGATTTATAATTTTTGGAGGTTAGCTAGATTAAATATGTATAATCTTAAAAATTAATAATGAACATATTTAGAGATCTATAGTTTTGTTAGAGATTTTTAAAGACTTTTTTTACATTATCCACTCAAGAAAGACCGTACACTAAAGCATCCTTTGCACACCAAATATATGTTATATAGTCCATTATATCTGCTTCTGCACTATATGCATTTACCTTGGTATGCCATTTTTTTCCCTTTGTGTATAGACGAATAAAGTGTTTTATATTTGGTGTGATATGGATATTTCTATTTATGGCTGTTAGTTTCCTAGACCACTAGGGAAGTGGTATAGGTCATATTGCACCCACTATGATTCTTATCTGTACTAGGTTGAATATAAATTATATATATATATATACATATACATATACATACATACACACATATATATATACACACACATATATATACATATATATACACACACACACACACACAATGCTAAACAAAAATCTGCACACCAGTCAAGCCATAAGACTTGCTTTTCCCACAGAAATCCCAAATCAGCAGTGATGTTACAACCGCAAAGGATTCTGGGTGGGCATATGCAAATTAGTTTAACAAAGAATCACATTTTTGCCTCATTCCATTTTAAACATGGATTCCTTTTAATTTGTGTTTGCAGTATACAACTGCTTGGAACACAATTTAGGATAAGATGCAAAACCAGTGAACCACTCATGGACAGCTGTTTCGTTGTTAATGCAACTCTTCAGCATGAGGTTGGTTACTGGTTTGCTTATGGAGGCTTGGTAGTGCTTGGGAAGCAAGATCCAAATAGATTATGGTGGGGAAAAATTGTGATTGAAAACCCCTTCCACCTGAAGTATGTGGATAGTTAATACAATGCTAAACAATTTTTCCCCACCATAATCTATTTGGATCTTGCTTCCCAAGCACTACCAAGCCTCCATAAGCAAACCAGTAACCAACCTCATGCTGAAGAGTTGCATTAACAACGAAACAGCTGTCCATGAGTGGTTCACTGGTTTTGCATCTTATCCTAAATTGTGTTCCAAGCAGTTGTATACTGCAAACACAAATTAAAGGGAATCCATGTTTAAAATGGAATGAGGCAAAAATGTGATTCTTTGTTAAACTAATTTGCATATGCCCACCCAGAATCCTTTGCGGTTGTAACATCACTGCTGATTTGGGATTTCTGTGGGAAAAGAAAGTCTTATGGCTTGACTGGTGTGCAGATTTTTGTTTAGCATTGTATTAACTATCCACATACTTCAGGTGGAAGAGGTTTTCAATCACAATTTTTCCCCACCATAATCTATTTGGAATATATATATATATATATATATATATATATATATATATATATATATATATATATATATATATATATATATATATATATATATATATATATATATATATATTTATTTTTTTGTAGGAGGCTGCTTTCTGTGCAACAAGCAGGTTTTAGAATTGGTATCATAGGGTAGAATAACGTGTTCCTGTCTCTCCCAGCAGCTCAATACAGTCTTTGTCGGATGACAAAATGGCTCAAGACAACATTTAAATATCACTGTGCCCTTTTAGAATAAAGTCATTAATAAGATGTGTAATCCCTATTAAGTTATTCACAATTTGTAAGTGGGTGAATGACAAAAACACACAATGCAGCACATGAACACCGCTGAAATGGGGGGGAAACACTTTAATTTCATAGAAATGTCAAAAATAATCTCCAAATGCAAATTACGGTCCAAAAATAAAAACAACAACTCAAGTAACTTTCTATTACTCATTGCTAGAGAAGATTTCAGCTCTAATCTTCTGGTTTCCTGTTAAAGACAATTTGCCCCATTTCATTTTACAACCTCCAACAATGATGGGGGGTGGGAGGGAGCAAACATTAAAAAAAACAAAAACAAAAAAAACAACCCTTCCAAAAAAAAATAATCACAGATGATGTCCCATTTTCCACCCAGTGAATGACACTGTCCCAGGAGCTCGGCTGCTGCCTCCGGTTGGATCTCTGTATAAATGCTCTTGCTGGTCCCTCAGTGCGTAGCAATGAATCTTCTCCTTAATCTGACTTTTCCTTCTCTTTCATATGTAAGAAAACGATGCTGAATATGAAGAGGCCGCCCATCATGGAGAACGCACTGGCATAGTAAGGGAAAGCAGATGGGATAAATCTCTCATACTGTGTGTGCTGCAGCGGTCGTACAGACACCTGCAATTAGAATAGAGAATGATTACTCACAATAAGTAGACGAGGAAGGCTTGATCTTCTGGTTAACTGTAGATACTTAAGAGGATCAGTGTGAAATTTTGTAAAAAATATAACAATTACGATGTCTGTTTCAGCAAGTGCATTTAGCCACCCATAGGACGAATGAAATAAAATATTAAAATACACAATAGGCATATAGACAAACCGTATGCATTTTAATACTCAAAGTAAAATAAAGTTACCTGGATTCATGTACATACATATTTCCACCTCCTGTTCAAGCCCTTCATTTCAGAATATTTGTCAGTTGAATCAAATAAACATTTCCTCATAATTAACAGGAAGTTCACAAATGTCAGAAGCAATACTGCTGTAGTAGTTATGGTGCTAAGGAGGACAGGGTGCCCCCCAGAATAAGTAGTCAAACTGTTTAAGACTAGATTGACAAGTTCCACAGTGCATCCTTTGTTGCCTACAACTCAGATGGAAGCTTCTGTACTGAACTAAGCCCAGTGTTGCAGAGTCACGCTCCAAGGCTCAGGAGAGGGGGTCGGCTGACCGCTCCAGAGGAGCAGACGGCGTTGAGCAGCCAATAGAACTCCGATAAGTAGTCAAAATGTTCTTAAACTCTTGACTACCAACTCTGAGAAGGAACCAAGACACTCCCTGCACCATATAAACATTACAACGGCTATAGTTATGGTGCTTGGAACTTTCCATTAAAACATAATAAATGAGAAATGAGAGAGTTTCTTTTTCAGTCATTGAGATTATATTTATAGCTACATTAGAGGATACCTGGGAGCAGCAGGATGTGATCTTCTGGAAAGTAAGACTAAATTCCCAGGAAATAAAAATTAAATAAAAATGCAGGAATAAATCAAGAGGACAATACAACATGGGTGTCTTCATAGTGCATTATCTTTACAAGCTTTTTAAGTCCACTGGCTGACATGCCCCTTTAATGCTGTAATGAATCTTCATAGACCGTTTCTCCCCTCGTAAAGCAGTGAAAATACCCAAATCCACTAAACTCACTTGAGTGGTTGAATACAGATGCGTGTAGCCAAGTCGGTTATAGTCCACCTTGAACTGGAAGACACCATACACATCAGGTAGTTTAAACTGAACACTGTATTTCCCACCTGCAAGAAGAAAGATATGTCAGAGACATTAAAGTGGTCTGGGTGCAGTATCCATCTCCCACCTCTTCCTGCAATGTAAAACTGACGATTTTGAGAAACTGCCTGTTGTGACGGTCTATCAGACAGCCACCAGAGGCGCTTCCTGGATTCTAACAGAGTGACTCCGTTAAACAGTGCTGCATGAGGACATCCAGCGTCAGTGAAAACCCCATAGGAAAGCATTGAGGCACATGTGCAGTAAGTTCCCCATTTAAATGATCTCGGAGAAGGCGGAGTGCGACCCATCAACTAAAATCTGGTTACTGACTAAAGTGCCTTTTTTTTTTTTAACCCTTTACGTGCCAGGGGTAAAGGGTAATATAGTGCTAGCTTTGAATTCCTAACCCTTTAAATAATAAGATCTAGCAAAGAGGTAATGTGGGCACTGCTCAGGATGCACAACACATACGGTAGTTAGAAGGGGAGGAGGCAGAGGTGTGACTGGCCGAAGCAATAATGCCAATACATGCACTGACCATTTTTCTTCAGGAAAGTCCGAACAAAGGGATCAATGCGAACAAACTCCAGCTGAATATCATCGCCATCAAATGGAACCCACTTTCCTTCAGAAAGCTTCTCGATCACAATGTTGTATTCCTGTGAGAGAAATCAAACCCAACATTACTATGTAATAGGCAGTTTGGGATCACAATTGTATTTAACAAACACAAATCATGTTAAACTAATTTTAATCACAAACAGATACCCACACAAACAGATTTAACACTATAAAAGGCCAGTGAAGTGAAACTAGTGGAAATGCACAGATCAGAGTGAAAACCTGCTCCAAGAACCCTTTAAAAACCATCAGGAAGAAGACAGAGAGATGACAAGAGACAAATTATTGTAAAAACTGCACTTCATAATGCAGCTGGATAAAACAAATGCTTCTGCTTGTAGGATGCAGACTGAATTGTATTTATTTTCTTCTTACCACAAGGTCGGTGATTGTGTAAGCACTGGGGGGAGTGTCTTCTCCAACACGGTGATGGGAAACAGCGCCAACCCGCAGGACTCCCTCCTCTTTAAACACCCAGCGGGCCATAGCTAAAGCTAGCTCATAGTTTCCAGTTTTGGAGAATCTACACAACAAAACAAGATGTGGGTTCAATACCAACAATAAAATCAGGGGATCATCATTCAATTTCCAAATAACACTATTTAGGTTTCAATCTGCCTGTACATAATAAACCTTAACCACGTTAAAATCATTTGTAGGTTTTTTAAAACTAACTGTTGCCTGTGCTTTCTGCATTTCAAACAGTGAAAGATTGAGATATCTGGTTTAACGGCCGATGACCATTCACTCCAAGTGAGCAGAGTTCAGTGGCATTTGGCCCAAACCCTGCAATTACATACTGTCCTGTCTGAAACATTTTCTGTGGTTGAATACATGAAAAAAAAACCAAAAAAAAAAAAAACACACAAACAAGGGGTTAAAAAGTTACCTGGTGGAGCCAGGACTGGCTTTCTGGACAGCAGAGTTAAAGAAAGCATCACTGAAGAAATCCAATGATCCACTGAACACAACACGAGCATTATTTCTGGCCTGTAGCCCTGCAATTAGCAAAGTGTTTTTTCCCACAGCATGCGGATACTGCAATGAAGAAAGAGGGAAACTGCTGAGTGAAGGAATGTGGTCAGGAAGCTGGATGGGAAAGGACTGTGCGATAACACGACAATACAGTGTTACAAATTTGTGGTAAAGATGAACAACGACAGAGGACTTACCTGTGTGACTGGTTTATCAGGGAAAAACGAGTAAGAAGTTGAGGACCCAGTGAGAATGTCCAGCACTAAAGGATTATCAGGATCTGCTACCATGCTGGAGACGACAAGAAATAAAATAAGAATGACATATTTACAACATTAGGTAAACGTTTTCTGCGATTATAATGGAAATAAAATTCTTAGTACACTTACCCAACCCCCTGAAACAGAATGGGATTCAAAGTAGACTTTCCCACGATGGTTGGTGCCTTCAGAAGGTTTTCTGAATCAGCCACAATTAGTGTGTGCTGAGGGGAGAAACAAGAACATCAGAAACTACGGGGTGGGGAAGAAATATTATTATTATTATGATATTTATAGAGCACCGTCAAATTCCGCAGCGCTTTACAAATGGGTGGACGAACAGACATGTAGTTGTAACCAGACAAGTTGGACACACAGGAACAGAGGGGTTGAGGGCCCTGCTCAATGAGCTTACATGCTAGAGGGAGTGGGGTATAGTGACACAAAAAGGTAAGGATAGTATTAGACTAGTGACAGTTGCAGATGAGGAATCAGTCAGGAGCTATTAACAGTTTAATGGATACGCTTTTATGAAGAAGTGGGTTTTTAACGATTTTTTGAAGGAGTGGAGACTGGGTGAGCATCTAACGGAGGAGGGAAGCGAGTTCCACAGGAACGGTGCAGCCCTCGAGAAATCTTGAAGGCGAGCATCAGAGGTGGGAGTACGGACAGAAGATAGACGTAAGTCTTCAGCAGATCGTAAGGGCCTAGACGGGACATACTTGTGTATAAGGAAGGATAGATAGGTGGGAGCAGCATTATGTAGAGATTTGAAAGCAAGAACCAGAATTTTAAATTGAGCTCTATATTTTATAGGAAGCCAATGTAGGGACTGACAGAAGGGTGAGGCATGGGAGTTGCGGGCAGACAGGAAGAAGAGCCTAGCCGCCGCATTCATTATGGACTGTAACGGCACAAGTTGGGAGCACGTAAGACCACTGAGAAGCAGATTACAGTAGTCAAGGCGAGAAAGGACAGTGGAATGGACCAACACCAAATATCAATGAATAATGTCCTACATCATTTATGGAAAAGACACCATTGCGGGGCTTCGCTCAGCAGACATAATGAAAGAATGTCTGGCTCTCCGGTATTGGCAGTGGAGGAAGGGAAGACATGACAAATATAGCAACACAAACTCCTATGCCTCCCTTACAATCTATGGAATGATTTGTTTTCTGAATAGTTTACAGATTGTGTTTGATGAGTGTCAGCAGTGAAGCAAATTTTGTTCATTTCGTATCTATCAGGCAACAATGTAATATTTTATTGGCCATTTTATTTTCCTAATATCTACTAATCTAGAGGTTTTCTAGCTGTTAATATGCACAGGGTGAAGATCAGGTTATTATCGTGTTTAACCCCTTAAGGACCAAACTTCTGGAATAAAAGGGAATCATGACATGTAGCACATGTCATGTGTCCTTAAGGGGTTAAAAGGGTCTCTTACTATACATGCAGAGCACGCTATAAGATCAGGTTATTATCGTGTTTAAAAGGGTCTCTTACTATACACGCAGAGCACGCTATAAGATCAAGTTATCGTGTTTAACCCCTTAAGGACACATGACATGTCATGATTCCCTTTTATTCCAGAGGTTTGGTCCTTAAGGGGTTAAAAGGGTCTCTTACTATACATGCAGAACACACTATATTAAAGTCCTTTTGTACACTAACCTGCCCAGGATCAGAGATGTCATAGTTGTGATGATCTATTACTGCAGTTTTTTCTTCATCAAATTCAATACCACATTCACTGCCCAATTCCCGCAAAGGATCCCCTAAAGAACATAGAGAACCCATGAACGTTGAAAGCATACTCAGCCATAATTGCATCATATCTATTGGTGATTGAATAGATAGCTACAAAATCCCAGAACAGTTAGATACGAAACATACAGAAAACATTTTAAACATCGGTAAATGTCCGATTCTCATTATATATTTTCGGCTGCCATCACGTGCTGTGCCAAATGGCTTTAATCTAAACTGAAATAGTGATTGGAAGAAAATGCAGACACAAATATCAAAAACATTGACATACCAATATCTGAGCTGGCAGCCACCAGAACACTCCCACCTCCATCAATAAAGGAACTGATCGTCTCAACATTGATGTTTCCGCCAAAATCTAGAACAGAAAATGTACTGTTAGATCAAACTTACATTGACTTATTTAAATAGTATATTGTAGCACCAACCATCTCGCTCCATTGGAGAACAATGGTTATTGAAATTTTTCACGAGTACTTGTAAGCACCTCAACCACTTCAACAGATTGACGTTGTTATGGTGCCTGAAGTCCATGAGCACCAGGTGCTGCATCACTACTAAACAGTTTACTCAGCATTTAGTATTCCCAGTCCTCAGCTGCCTGGACTCCAGTGGCAATATAGCAAAGGCAGGGCTATGCATCCACCTCACACCATACCAATTTATAGATGGGATTGAAGTAGTGACTGGCAGAGAACACTAAGCTGATGCTCTCAGCCAATAACTGCCTGCTTTAGTGTAAAGTGGAGTATAACTACACGTCTGCCAATTCATTACTGTTTCCTGCCTGCTAGACCAGCTTAGGTAGCCCCTGTGAAATTGTAGAAAAATATGGATTATAAAGATCTAACTTTAGTTGCAGTAGTTTACACACATAGTATTGGCAGAGCACATTTAATGCTTAAAGACCAGATAAAGAAGATCGCAGGGAAAGACATGAATTCACAAAGCAACAGAGTCGACTTAGCCTGTGTTTATTGCCTGGCTATGGACACACCTGAAGCTTCTGATCTTTTTTTCTTCCAACTTTCTAACCAGACAGATATTGTTGTAAACAATAAAAATACAACTGTTCATTTGTCTAAGAATCATCCAAAAACTGGCATTAAAGGACCACTCTAGGCACCCAGACCACTTCAGCTTAATGAAGTGGTCTGGGTGCCAGGTCCAGCTAGGATTAATAATAGAGAAATTCCCAAAAGGTAAGAGTGTATGGAGAGAAGAACCAGCGTCTATCTCACACAATACACTCAACTGAGGGTGTGCCCATAAGGAGAGTATATAAAGTCCCCTGGTAGGATAAGGGTAAAAGTAGAAAATAAAAAATACTTTATTGAAAAACAATATAGAGATTAAATAAAATGAATGGGGTCCGGGATGGGGGGATGGCTCATAGTCCGTGAGGTTGTAATGGTACAAAAAGAAGGTAGCCAGGCAAGTATGAATCACTGTATGGCACTATTATAAGCCAATAATAGGTAGGAGCTTGTGTATTTCAAAGTAGCATGTCATACTGAAGTCTCAGTGGCGTAGCACATCTCAAGGAGCTCCTTAATGAGCCAACAATATCTGCACAGAATGTGATCAAACTACTATTATGGGAATAACTACCGATAGCTAGGGTGTAATTCCCTGGAGTTTGTGACAGGCTGTAAACCCGTTGGACAAATGGTAAATAAATCAAAATGCTGACTAGCAACAGTGAAGTAAACTGGAATCTAAGAGGAATAGAGTCAAAAAGAAATTCCTCTTATATATGATGATACCCAGATGCCTCAATTCCTCTGGTTGGTAGTCAGCCCCACAGTTCAAAAGTGATGGGTTGCTTGCAAGTGCAGATCAAATAGCCATATTACAAGTATATTGCTAATTTGTAACAAAATGTTATCAGGTCTTTAAACATGGTTATATATGCCCTGAGATTGTTGTTTCCGAGAGAAAATATACAGTGTTACACACAAGGAGAACTAATTAGACACAAAATATCGCTCCAAAGTCTGCCCCTGCTTCCTAGATAGAAAGAAAAAAACGACTCACCGCCGACAGGCACATCATCCCCAAATACCCGGCCCCATGCTACCCAGATCAGAATAAGAGTAAAAGGAGGATAGAGACCGTAAAGCTAGCAAATATAAGGAGTATATCTAGCTGTAAGGAGCTGCTCACTCAGAGTATACGCCTAGATAAAAAGACAGGTGAAAAAGTGAAAAAAGTAACTGTCTGGACTCAGCTGTTCGATCGCTATGGTAAGCTTTTAAATCAAGGTGATAGGATCGCTATGCTGAGCTTCCAAAGTCAGACTTAATACATGAAATTAAAGAGTAAACTGACTAGGCTGAAAATTCTAAGTAGCTTCGCTGTGCTGAGCTTCCAACTCAAAATAATAGGAGATAGGAAAAGAAAATCCGCCTAGATTGAAATCAGATTAAGTAGGTAAACGTAATAAGTAAACTGACTAGGCTAAGATTCTAAATCACTGGAGATTTCTTCCTAAATAGCTTCGCTGTACTGAGCTTCCAACTCAAAGTAATAGTAGATAGGAAAAGAAAATCTGCCTAGATCGAAGTTAAACTAAGTAGATAAAAGTAATAAACTAACTAGGCTAAGATTCTAAATCACCGGAGTTGTCAAAATAACTTAAGAGAATCCGCCTAGATCGAAGTCAGACTAAGTAGATGAAAGTAATAAGTAAACTGACTAGGCTAAGATTCTAGATCACTGGAGATTTCCAAATAACTGACGCGCGTTTCGGCGCTATGTGGCTTTTGAAAAAGGCGCCACATAGCGCCGAAACGCGCGTCAGTTATTTGGAAATCTCCAGTGATCTAGAATCTTAGCCTAGTCAGTTTACTTATTACTTTCATCTACTTAGTCTGACTTCGATCTAGGCGGATTCTCTTAAGTTATTTTGACAACTCCGGTGATTTAGAATCTTAGCCTAGTTAGTTTATTACTTTTATCTACTTAGTTTAACTTCGATCTAGGCAGATTTTCTTTTCCTATCTACTATTACTTTGAGTTGGAAGCTCAGTACAGCGAAGCTATTTAGGAAGAAATCTCCAGTGATTTAGAATCTTAGCCTAGTCAGTTTACTTATTACGTTTACCTACTTAATCTGATTTCAATCTAGGCGGATTTTCTTTTCCTATCTCCTATTATTTTGAGTTGGAAGCTCAGCACAGCGAAGCTACTTAGAATTTTCAGCCTAGTCAGTTTACTCTTTAATTTCATGTATTAAGTCTGACTTTGGAAGCTCAGCATAGCGATCCTATCACCTTGATTTAAAAGCTTACCATAGCGATCGAACAGCTGAGTCCAGACAGTTACTTTTTTCACTTTTTCACCTGTCTTTTTATCTAGGCGTATACTCTGAGTGAGCAGCTCCTTACAGCTAGATATACTCCTTATATTTGCTAGCTTTACGGTCTCTATCCTCCTTTTACTCTTATTCTGATCTGGGTAGCATGGGGCCGGGTATTTGGGGATGATGTGCCTGTCGGCGGTGAGTCGTTTTTTTCTTTCTATCTAGGAAGCAGGGGCAGACTTCGGAGCGATATTTTGTGTCTAATTAGTTCTCCTTGTGTGTAACACTGTATATTTTCTCTCGGAAACAACAATCTCAGGGCATATATAACCATGTTTAAAGACCTGATAACATTTTGTTACAAATTAGCAATATACTTGTAATATGGCTATTTGATCTGCACTTGCAAGCAACCCATCACTTTTGAACTGTGGGGCTGACTACCAACCAGAGGAATTGAGGCATCTGGGTATCATCATATATAAGAGGAATTTCTTTTTGACTCTATTCCTCTTAGATTCCAGTTTACTTCACTGTTGCCAGTCAGCATTTTGATTTATTTACCATTTGTCCAACGGGTTTACAGCCTGTCACAAACTCCAGGGAATTACACCCTAGCTATCGGTAGTTATTCCCATAATAGTAGTTTGATCACATTCTGTGCAGATATTGTTGGCTCATTAAGGAGCTCCTTGAGATGTGCTACGCCACAGAGACTTCAGTATGACATGCTACTTTGAAATACACAAGCTCCTACCTATTATTGGCTTATAATAGTGCCATACAGTGATTCATACTTGCCTGGCTACCTTCTTTTTGTACCATTACAACCTCACGGACTATGAGCCATCCCCCCATCCCGGACCCCATTCATTTTATTTAATCTCTATATTGTTTTTCAATAAAGTATTTTTTATTTTCTACTTTTACCCTTATCCTACCAGGGGACTTTATATACTCTCCTTATGGGCACACCCTCAGTTGAGTGTATTGTATGAGATAGACGCTGGTTCTTCTCTCCATACACTCTTACCTTTGGGAATTTCTCTATTATTGTTTCTGTTGGGTTATCCCCTTTCAGTTGCCCATTTAGTCCTTCTTTGACTCCAGGAGTGGATTTTTCCAGTCCTGTAGTCACTGCTCTTTTCTCTTACCAGCTAGGATTAACCCCTTTTTTTTTTTTTAAATATATAAACATAGCAGTTTCAGAGAAACTGCTATGTTTGTAAATGGGTTAATCCTTCCTACAATTCCTCTAGTGGCTGTCTCACTGACAGCCGCTAGAGGCGCTTGCGGGATTCTCACTGTGAAAAATCACAGTGAGAGAGCACGCAAGCATCCATAGAAAAGCATTGTAAATGCTTTCCTATGAGACCGGCTGAATGCGCGCGCAGCTTTTGCCATGCGTGCGCATTCAGCCGAATGGGAGGAGAAGAGGAGGATCGGAGGAGGAGAGCTCCCCGCCCGGCGCTGGAAAAAGGTAAGTTTTAACCCCTTTCCTGTCCCCAGAGCCGGGAGGGAGTGGGACCCTGAGGGTGGGGGCACCCTCAGGGCACTCTAGTGCCAGGAAAACGAGTATGTTTTCCTGGCACTATAGTGGTCCTTTAAATAATAAAATAAGACCATCTGTTTAGAGCAAAAGACAGACATCAATCAAATGATTTGTGAATAGGAGTCAAGAATATTTGATAGGCACATCCAATTCAAACCTAAAACAAATGAGCCTGATGAAGTGCAGGTAATACATACAGATAGGGGATTCCAAAAACAAGCTAGGAACACCTCCAGTTGCAGTCACTCAGAGTGAACCAGAGGGACTTCGGAGTTGATGGAGGCATAATATGCCTCCATCCACTCAGATCTGCTGTCAGCAGAGCACAGTGCAGCACTGTGCACAGCATCATGTGATTCAGTGTATCCTCCCTCTGCATGCAGACACTGAACTTTCCTCCTAGAGATGCATTGATTCAATTCATCTTTATGAGGAGATGCTGATTGGCCAGGGCTGTGTTTGAATCCTGCTGGCTCTGCCCCTGATCTGCCTCTTTGACAGTTTCAGCCAATCCTATGGGGAAGCACTGTGATTGGATCAGACTACAACGTGTCAGCAGACTGCTTGTTTTTCTGAGTCTAACAACATGCAGATTTACAGCTTCAGGCTTGAATACAGTAAGATTTTTACTATATTTATGGAGGCATGAGGGGTCTAGAGGGGCTAGATGGTGGTGGTAACACTATAGGGTCAGGAATACATGTTTGTGTTCCTGACCCTATAGTGATCCTTTAACGTTGCAAGGGTTAATCACCAAATTCTTAATTGTCACATTAAAATCTGAATTGCAAAATTTAGGCAAAAATACCTAATGTAGAACTATATTAGAGTTAGAGAATTTTGCCAGATACGCTATTTGGTCTAAATGTTGCCGTTTTTCTTTTAATTCAATTCTGAGTTTAGCGAATAAACCCTACATGGTTAATAAAATGGAAGACTGGTTCTATACATATAAACAGCTCTATATACAAACAAGTGCACACACAGCTAGAATGTAAGACATGGTTTTACAGATACTGAACCTGTCTGCCATTATTACACAAAGAAAGGTTTCTGATGGTGACGGACATGCATTGGGTGCATTCTCAACGCTACAGCTCTACCTTTATACTTGGCCTAGTGACCCTATGTCAGATAGACTAGAACAGGGGTAGGCAACCTTTTAGCAGCACTGTGCCTAAATAAGATTATGATGTTCCATAGCAAGCTGGTGTTCTATCAGTCTGCTATACTGCCACAGATTGCTATACCCCCGTCACTTCCGGGGAGGGGAATCAGATGGATCCTGTGCTGCACATGTGCTAGCACTCCTGCTACTCCTCCACAGCAAGGTCCTGGAAGGTAAGTAAAACTAGTTTTACACTTTCATTATAGTTAGTACATTCACTAAGCTTAGGCACACGGGACATTTAGGGTTAAGTGAGGGTACAAATTAGGATTAGGTAAGTGCTCCTAACCTCTCTCACACTCTATTCTTACCCTAACCCTTGGGGTAAGGGTTAAAATAAAGTGTGAGAAAGCACTATTTAGTGATATTCCCCTAATGTGAAATATCACTAAATATGAACAAGTCCATAATCCTAACCCCAATTTGAACCCTAACATTAACCCTAAGTGTCCCATGTCCTAAGTTTAGTGAATACACTAACTATAATGAAAGTGTAAGACTAGTTTTACTTACCTTCCAGGACCTTGCTGTGGAGGAGTAGCAGGAGTGCTAGCACGCATGTGCAGCACAGTGACGGAGTATAGCAGACTGATAGAACACCGGTCCTATTTTTCCTCTCTCTCTAGAAGTGTGTATGTTGCCGTATTCTGCTTATTATTTATACTGCGGTTGTTTTGTATCGTTGTATTTGTGCGTATATGAGCTATTATATTGTATATGTTCACAAGTAATTTGTGGGCTGCTTGTGTATGGATATGTCACATTGTGTGTTTGGTAGTGTGTATGTGTGGGACTGTTTGGGGTATTGCATATGAGAGTCTGCATGTGGGGTTGTGTGCATGTATGTGGATTGTTAGTGGTGTTGAGTTTGTGGGGAGTGTGTGTATGTTTGTGTGTGGGCTGTTCCTTTTACTGTTTGGTTCTAGCAGCCTTGAATGACGTGCATGGCACATGTGCCATAGGTTACCTACCCCTGGACTAGAAGTACATATTTATCAGTAGTACTTACCTTCTACTGATGGTGAGAATATTATCAGATTGTCATACAAAAACTCTCCATATTTTATGAGTGACAAGCTAGGGTCATCAGCTGTTCTGAAGGTTAGGTCAAATCCTCTGTCTGAAAAAAAAAAAAAAAAAAAATATACCAGAATATTGGTCAGAAGATACGGAAAGGAACGTAAAAATATAATACAGCGACTATTTCACTATTGGCCACCTCTTTATAGGTCATTCCCTTCTATTGGATAGAGTATAAAGATTGAAGTGAGTTCTTGGCTTCAATAGCTTCCTAGCCAGGTACTTCCATGTAGGACTGCTGCAAGGTGGATAAAAGGAAGGTCTCTTAAGGCTGTAAATGCATCATGGGCTACAACTATAGGGTGGGCTACCTCCTGCATCAGGATTCTCACAGAGTACAAGCTCCTTTGTCAAGCATCTAGGTGGAGGATGCTGTGAGAGTCAATAGAACAAGTGCAATAAGACCCCATGTAGGATGCTGGACATCACTGGACAGGACCTGTCACCCTCCCCGTGGGGGCCTCACTGGCCGTCTGTCTGTCTTTCTCCCCCTGGGGCCCTCTCTCTCTCCCCCCGTCTTTCTGTCTCTCTCTCTCTCTGTCTCTCCTCTCCCCAGGGGCCTGTCTCTCTCGCTCTCCCAGGGGGCCTGTCCTCTCTCTCTGCCTCTCCCCCAGGGGCCTGTCTCTCTCTCGCTCTCTCCCCAGGGGACCTGTCTCTCTCCTGCTCCCCTGGGGCCTGTCCTCTCGCTCTCCCCCAGGGGCCTGGCTCTCCCCCACTCCAGGGGGTCCGGGCTCTCTCCCCCAGGGGCCTGGCTCCTCCCCCAGGGCCCTGTCTCGCTCTCTGTGTGTGTGTGCCTGTGTCTCTCTCTCTCACCGGCGAGGCCGCGGAAGAACAGTGAGTGGGTCTCCTTGATGTTGATGTTCTCCAGTAGGATTAGGGTTCGGGGAGCAGCGAGAACCCGGGGGGCCACAGCCACACACAGGGCGGCCAGAAAGAGCAGCGAGCGCCGAGTAGCAGCCATCATTCCTCCCCGGCTAACTCCACGTCACCGGAAGTGCTCCCACAGGAGGCCAATAGGCTAGTGACAGCTCCGGCCGTGACGTCACCGGGGAGGCGGGCGCCGCCATCTTTAATAAGGGCACATTGCGCTCAGCTCGGCGGTTCCAGCTGTGATGGGGTCTGAGCTCACCGAGGGGGATCCTGGGTAAAGGGACCCCGAAACCGACTGTACAGGATCCTCACAGCTACATCTCAGTAACCAATCAGAGAAGGCCGAGTCTGCTGACACGTGACCTGCACTGTATGGCGGGAAATGCCATCACAACTACAACTCCCAGCATTCTCTGCGTGACAGAGCTCCACAGCAATAATACTCCCAGTAATGTGTCTGAGTGTATAACAGAGCTCCACAGCAATAATACTCCCAGTAATGTGTCTGAGTGTATAACAGAGCTCAACAGCAATAATACTCCCAGTAATGTGTGTGAGTGTATAACAGAGCTCAACAGCAATAATACTCCCAGTAATGTCTGAGTGTATAACAGAGCTCCACAGTAATAATACTCCCAGTAATGTGTCTGAGTGTATAACAGAGCTCCACAGCAATAATACTCCCAGTAATGTGTCTGAGTGTATAACAGAGCCCCACAGCAATAATACTCTCAGTAATGTGTCTGAGTGTATAACAGAGCTCCGCAGCAATAATACTCCCAGTAATGTGTCTGAGTAGATAACAGAGCTCCACAGCAATAATACTCCCAGTAATGTGTCTGTGTATAACAGAGCTACACAGAAATAATACTCCCAGTAATGTGTCTGAGTGTATAACAGAGCTCCACAGCAATAATGCTCCCAGTAATGTGTCTGAGTGTATAACAGAGCTCCACAGCAATGATACTCCCAGTAATGTGTCTGAGTGTATAACAGAGCTCCACAGCAATGATACTCATAGTAATGTGTCTGAGTGTATAACAGAGCTCCACAGCAATAATGCTCCCAGTAATGTGTCTGAGTGTATAACAGAGCTCCTCAGCAATAATACTCCCAGTAATGTGTCTGAGTGTATCACAGAGCTCCACAGCAATAATACTCCCAGTAATGTGTCTGAGTGTATAACAGAGCTCCACAGCAATAATACTCCCAGTAATGTGTCTTGAGTGTATAACAGAGCTCCACAGCAATAATACTCCCAGTAATGTGTCTGAGTGTATAACAGAGCTACACAGCAATAATACTCCCAGTAATGTGTCTGAGTGTATAACAGAGCTCCACAGCAATAATACTCCCAGTAATGTGTCTGAGTGTATAACAGAGCTCCACAGCAATAATACTCCCAGTAATGTATCTGAGTGTATAACAGAGCCCCACAGCAATAATACTCCTAGTAATGTGTCTGAGTGTATAATGGAGCTCCACAGCAATAATACTCCCAGTAATGTGTCTGAGTGTATAACAGAGCTCCACAGCTATAATACTCCCAGTAATGTATCTGAGTGTATAACAGAGCTCCACAGTAATAATACTCCCAGTAATGTGTCTGAGTGTATAACGGAGCTCCACAGCAATAATACTCCCAGTAATGTGTCTGAGTGTATAACAGAGCTCCACAGCAATAATACCCCAGTAATGTGTCTGAGTGTATAACAGAGCTCCACAGCAATAATACTCCCAGTAATGTGTCTGAGTGTATAACAGAGCTCCACAGCAATAATACTCCCAGTAATGTGTCTGAGTGTATAACAGAGCTCCACAGCAATAATGCTCCCAGTAACGTGTCTGAGTGTATAACAGAGCTCCACAGCAATAATACTCCCAGTAATGTGTCTGAGTGTATAACAGAGCTCCACAGCAATAATACTCCCAGTAATGTGTCTGAGTGTATAACAGAGCTCCACATCAATAATACCCCAGTAATGTGTTATAACAGAGCTCCACAGCAATAATACTCCCAGTAATGTGTCTGAGTGTATAACAGAGCTCCACAGCAATAATACTCCCAGTAATGTGTCTGAGTGTATAACTGAGCTCCACAGCAATAATACTCCCAGTAATGTGCCTGAGTGTATAACAGAGCTCCACAGCAATAATACTCCCAGTAATGTGTCTGAGTATAACAGAGCTCCACAGATATAATACTACCAGTAATGTGTCTGGGTGTATAACAGAGCTCCACAGCAATAATACTCCCAGTAATGTGTCTGAGTGTATAACAGAGCTCCACAGCAATAATACTCCCAGTAATGTGTCTGAGTGTATAACAGATCTCCACAGCAATAATACTCCCAGTAATGTGTCTGAGTGTATAACAGATCTCCACAGCAATAATACTCCCAGTAATGTGTCTGAGTGTATAACAGAGCTCCACAGCAATAATACTCCAAGTAATGTGTCTGAGTGTATAACAGAGCTCCACAGCAATAATACTCCCAGTAATGTGTCTGAATGTATAACAGAGCTCCACAGCAATAATACTCCCAGTAATGTGTCTGAGTGTATAACAGAGCTCCACAGCAATAATACTCCCAGTAATGTGTCTGAGTGTATAACAGAGCTCCACAGCAATAATACTCCCAGTAATGTGTCTGAGTGTATAACAGAGCCCACAGCAATAATACTCCTAGTAATGTGTCTGAGTGTATAACAGAGCTCCACAGCAATAATACTCCCAGTAATGTGTCTGAGTGTATAACAGAGCTCCACAGCAATAATACTCCCAGTAATGTGTCTGAGTGTATAACAGAGCCCCACAGCAATAATACTCCCAGTAATGTGTCTGAGTGTATAACAGAGCTCCACAGCAACAATACTCCCAGTAATGTGTCTGAGTGTATAACAGAGCTCCACAGCAATAATACTCCCAGTAATGTGTCTGAGTGTATAACAGAGTTCCACAGCAATAATACTCCCAGTAATGTGTCTTAGTGTATAACAGAGCCCACAGCAATAATACTCCCAGTAATGTGTCTGAGTGTATAACAGAGCTCCACAGCGATAATACTCCCAGTAATGTGTCTGAGTGTATAACAGAGCTCCACAGCAATAATACTCCCAGTAATGTGTCTGAATGTATAACAGAGCTCCACAGCAATAATATTCCCAATAATGTGTCTGAGTGTATAACAGAGCTCCACAGCAATAATACTCCCAGTAATATGTCTGAGTGTATAACAGAGCTCCACAGCAATAATACTCCCAGTAATGTGTCTGTGTGTATAACAGAGCTCCACAGCAATAATACTCCCAGTAATGTGTCTGAGTGTATAACAGAGCTCCACAGCAATAATACTCCCAGTAATGTGTCTGAGTATATAACAGAGCTCCACAGCAATAATACTCCCAGTAATATGTCTGAGTGTATAACAGAGCTCCACAGTAATAATACTCCCAGTAATGTGTCTGAGTGTATAACAGAGCTCCACAGCAATAATACTCCCAGTAATGTGAGTGAGTGTATAACAGAGCCCCACAGCAATAATACTCCCAGTAATGTGTCTGAGTGTATAACAGAGCTCCATAGCAATAATACTCCCAGTAATGTGAGTGAGTGTATAACAGAGCTCCACAGCAATAATACTCCCAGTAATATGTCTGAGTGTATAACAGAGCTCCACAGTAATAATACTCCCAGTAACGTGTCTGAGTGTATAACAGAGCTCCACAGCAATAATACTCCCAGTAATATGTCTGAGTGTATAACAGAGCTCCACAGTAATAATACTCCCAGTAACGTGTCTGAGTGTATAACAGAGCTCCACAGCAATAATACTCCTAGTAATGTGTCTGAGTGTATATCAGAGCTCCACAGCAATAATACTCCCAGTAATGTGTCTTTAAACTACAATAAATGTGTTTAGAAAATTTGAAATCAGTCTGCGTAATTAAGATACATTATTTTTGTTAGAAGGTACATTTTAGTTGGATAAATTGTTATTAGTATTTTTTTCTCAGCCACACCTCTAAAATTAAATTTAATTGTTCTTCTCATTATGAAATGTAGGGAGGTATACTGATACCCCCTCTATAGGAATCATATCCCCAGTTCTCTGTCTCCTAATATAACAATCTTATCTAACCCCTGGGCCCCACGTCGAATTATTGTAAATACAGATATGCATAGATATATTGGGGGTTAGTGCAAAGTGGTTTTCACACCAAAATTGAGTTTTGCTGTTCATATTTTCTTTTTGTGCCAATATTTGTACAGCGCTATGGAATTTGTTAGCACCCTTTAAATCATAGTATTAAACTTGATTGGGCCTCTTTTTTTTTGTATTTTTAAATTGAAAAGAAATTGTCTGCGATTTTTCTGTGAACTGTAAACAGCTGTCACAATCTTCCTTTAAAGGACTACTTGGACCCATTCTCTTTAATATTTTTATTAGTGATATTGCAGAAGGTCTTGATGGTAAGGTATGTCTTTTTGCTGATGATACTAAGACATGTAACAGGGTTGATCTTCCAGGAGGGATAAGCCAAACGGCAAATGATTTAGGTAAACTAGAAAAATGGTCAGAGTTGTGGCAACTGACATTTAATGTGGATAAGTGCAAGATAATGCATCTTGGACATAAAAACCCAAGGGCAGAGTACAGAATATTTGATAGAGTCCTAACCTCAACATATGAGGAAAGGGATTTAGGGGTGATTATTTCTGATGACTTAAAGGTAGGCAGACAATGTAATAGAGCAGCAGGAAATGCTAGCAGAATGCTTGGTTGTATAGGGAGAGGTATTAGCAGTAGAAAGAGGGAAGTGCTCATGCCATTGTACAGAACACTGGTGAGACCTCACTTGGAGTATTGTACACAGTACTGGAGACCGTATCTTCAGAAGGATATTGATACCTTAGAGAGGGTTCAGAGAAGGGCTACTAAACTGGTTCATGGATTGCGGGATAAAACTTACCAGGAAAGGTTAAAGGATCTTAACATGTATAGCTTGGAGGAAAGACGAGACAGGGGGGATATGATAGAAACATTTAAATACATAAAGGGAATCAACACAGTAAAGGAGGAGACTATATTTAAAAGAAGAAAACTACCACAACAAGAGGACATAGTCTTAAATTAGAGGGACAAAGGTTTAAAAATAATATCAGGAAGTATTACTTTACTGAGAGGGTAGTGGATGCATGGAATAGCCTTCCAGCTGAAGTGGTAGAGGTTAACACAGTAAAGGAGTTTAAGCATGCGTGGGATAGGCATAAGGCTATCCTAACTATAAGATAAGGCCAGGGACTAATGAAAGTATTTAGAAAATTGCGCAGACTAGATGGGCTGAATGGTTCTTATCTGCCATCACATTCTATGTTTCTATCTATGTTTCTATGACTAAAAAAAAAAAAAAAAAATACCTTCAAACAGCAAATGCATTGTTTGGTTTCTAGTGACATTTATCGTGTTTTACTTAGTGAATGTAATCGTTGGTTAAATCATCAGGGTGGAAAAAAGGAGCACAAAATCTCAAAGATGAATAAAATCTGTTGGAAATCACTGATGACTTGCCACATTACAGAAAAAAAAAACAAACAGGAAAATAATGTTCAATACACAATGGTGGAGTAACAGTTTTACACATAACAAATGGCACAAACAACGATTTGTATACATAACCCCTTTATCTAAATATCAACAAGTCACGTACACTTAGCTCCCCTTTTCCCATTTCCTCTATGACTCCATTTCTACATTCGTTCTCCTTTCTATTGTTGAATCCCTGATTGTTCCCTCAGCTTCGTTCTGTGCTTGCTCCCCGTCAGTCACTTCTTTCTTCGTCTCTTCTTAGTTTTATCTTTAATGAAAGTGCTCTAATACGCTCTACAATTGTCGGGACAGTTTTTTGCAGTAGATTAGACAGTAATGTAGGTGATGAAGTCTGCACTTTTATTGGTCATGCTAAACATTGATTAGATCGCAATGATAAAGGATACTCTGACTTTAGTGGGTTTATAAGAACATTTCAATATGAAATAACTCACATAGCCATGAAAGGTCTGAAACTGAATATTTTTGTGTGTTAAACCATCACCAGTTTCTTGGAAATCCAACATAATGCAGTTATATATCACCATACAGAAAAATATACAAAACTTAACTCAGGCCCCTTAAATAAAGTGCAAAGTTTATGGTGAATAAAAGTTAAAAAACAACAACTTTCCTTTAGTAGATAAACTGCCCAGAATATCTCAGTTATTCTGAATGCAAAATATATGGTATATAAAGGTAGTTCCACTTCAATTCCATATACAGTGAGGGAAAATGAATAAAGTGCACGGTGTAAAACAAAGTGCAAAGAGAAGGCTTCATTACTTACACATCGGTAAGAAACCGCAAATAAAACAGTCCTACATGTTTCGTCAGCTCCAGGGACTTCCTCAGGGACAAATGCTTCTATATACACATTTAAATCAAGAATGAAACAGTTCCTCCCTTAACCAGTCTTTATAAACCCCTCCCGATTGCTCCAGCATAAGCATTCTGCAGGTGTAGCCAATCTTTTCCCCTTCATTTCCGGGTTCCGCCTTTTTTGCGACATTCCTTAGTGGAGCTACCCTTATATACCATATATAAACATACCTTAATTGGATTTATAAGAAAAACCTCTTTGCTCGGTATATTAAAGAAATAAAATATATTTTCTGACATTTCTGGGCAGGTAATTAAGTTATCAGCTATTTATTGTAGCATGATACTAAGAGTAGGAACCCGATACGGAGATCTGTACACAAATAAATCAATCAGACACCGTTAGAACCACATAAAAGCTTTATTCACATTTTTGCAACGTGGCTCACTCTGAAATCAATATAGGCTTTTGAAACATCAGTATTTTTGATTATGATCAGAGTTAAATAACATACATGCTACATCATAAGGTGTTCTTCCTCAGGCAGTGGTTTAGGTTACAGACATTTGACAACAGAGGTATTCTACCAACACAACATAGTTCATCTGGTACCAACAATGAATGTGACACAGTCACATATTAGATGCCAGGATCCATTCATGACAGTTTCTCCTGATTCTCGGTAAGTCATTTGATGTCCCAGCGTTACAGATGGTACAATCATGGTGCGCATTCTAAACGGCAGTTTCGGTGCTTGATAACTTTTGAGGACATTAATTTTCTTAACTAACACTGCACTTACTGCCCCAAGGCAGAGCGTCGCGCTAAAAAGGTCTCTGGCCTGTAATGGAAAGAAATTGCTGACAACAGTTCTGTTAGTTTAAAAAAATCCTTGATTTTGAAGGTGAACTCATAGCCAAGAGAAAGACGAGCAAATTTCAAGGATTCCTTTGTAATCATGATGAATTACTTCAAGCTTATGACCAGATCACAGAGGTTCAAAACCTGGCGGAACTTTGCTTTTTTTACGTCTACTCTTGGCCGAAGGGTTGGGGAGCTCCAAGGATTCCAGGCGAAAAGGCCGTGGCAAAGGCATATCCATTCCTTGGATAGGGGACACAGAGCTTATATTTGCATTAAAAACAGAGCCAGCTGTATTGGCGGGAGCAGAATATGCCGGAGATGCGTTATGGAGAGCTGTCATTTAACATAAAGACACAGGAATGACTTGTAAATTAGTAAATCCCAAATAGAGTAAAGCGTTGTGAACAACACATACATATAGAAAAATATACAGCATACTTTCACACAGTCTCTTGTTAAGGTGGACATTTCTTCAGGCCGGTTCACTAAACACCTTAAGGCAGCTGAATGGTTCAACTGACCAGAATTAGCTGTTTCTACCAAAAACTTACTATGAAAAATCATTTAGCTTTTTACAAAAGGCCAATGCGATTATTTAAGCTGTATTTGCACAGCCACAGAACAGACCTACTGTTCGATAAGCTGTTAAAATTAGCAAAATATATCAATTTGCTAAAAAAAGCTGTAAAAAAACAGCCTAACTATACATAAATCCCATTCATTAATTTCATCCAAATCCCCAATCCAGAATAAAGGAAATGCACCCATAATACTAAGCCTTCATAATCAAAACACCCCAAGTAACCCCATTAGAACTACAATGATATCCTAAATCCTATTCCAGAACCACAATGTTCTGTATTTTTGCTTATAAAGTGAACCACAAGGAATGTTGTGCAGCATAAACTGAAGGATCCTGCCACCTGTATCGGGGGTGCCCAAAAGGTAGATCCACGGATGTTTTAAAATTACACCTTCCATGAGCTTTGTCATTCTAAAGGCATCATAGGAGTTGTAGTTCTACAACATCTAGGGATCTACCTTTCAGTCCAGTCAGGGCTTAGCCAGCGGCCAGCTTTCCTTTGCAGGATCTTTATCAGGCCAAGGCAGTGCTAGCAACCTTTAGCTATTCATCTGGTTTGCATCAGGAGAAACAGTTAGGTAATTGAGGAGAAAAAGAGATAAAAAGCAAGTGAAAAGGAAACATGAGACTAGCAGCAGTGGGAAAAAAGGGGAAGGTGACAAATGGGAGAGGATGGGGTGGAGAAAGGGGTCTATAGAAAAAGCAGACAAGCAGGGTAAAAGAATACCAGCCACAGGGTCCACAGTTTGAGAAGGTTTTAATTTTACCCATAGTTGACATGATTCCATACATTTGCCTCTATTTGAAGAATCCAGGCCCCTATTTTCTATTGTTTAGTAATAACTGTTCTGGTGACTATTCAGAATTTATGACTGTGACCAGGGCTCATTATTTCACATCCTGCACTACTAGTAAGGCCTAAATGTTACTCAGCACTGCAAGCCTGGAGGGTCCATGGCAAACTCACCAGGGGTGAATTTGTTCTTGCTAATAGCTAGTGGGAACTCTGAGCCCTGACTGTCACTATACCTGCTGCTTGTATTTCTGCTACAATACAATTTTATACTGATGATCCAAATCAATTCACATCTTTCTATGCCCTCCTCCAACATCATAAGATATTACAGATCGTCTTACCAAAACTCTTTAGGGGATCAGCGCTGAGGATTTGGCTAGCTCGCTTTGATTTAAAGTAGTTATTGGCAATGTTTTCACTGTCACTTCGGCTCAGCATCTTTTTGTAACGATCCTCTTCCTGGCAGATAGACATGAAAGTAGAAAGTCACAGTTTATTCTAGTGGGAAAGCCTCAAAGCAATTTGTTATTATCCAACTATTTATATATATTATTAGCAATAAATTATTGAATAAACCTACATGTAAGTGTACATCTAATGGGTGAAAGCCTGGAGTGTCCCTTTATTAATATAAACCCACCCAGTATAACTAACTGTAACCTAACCTACACAGTGCATCTAACGTGTGTGGGAGCCTGGAGTGTCCCATTAATAATATAAACCCACCCAGTATAACCAACTGTAATCTAACCTACACAGTGCATCTAACGTGTGTGGGAGCCTGGAGTGTCCCTTTAATAATATAAACCCACCCAGTATAACTAACTGTAACCTAACCTACACAGTGCATCTAACGTGTGTGGGAGCTGGAGTGTCCCTTTAATAATATAAACCCACCCAGTATAACTAACTGTAACCTAACCTACACAGTGCATCTAACGTGTGTGGGAGCCTGGAGTGTCCCTTTAATAATATAAACCCACCCAGTATAACTAACTGTAACCTAACCTACAAAGCACACCTAACATTTGTGGGAGCCTGGAGTGTCCCTTTAATAATAGAAACCCACCCAGTATAACTAACTGTAACCTAATCTACACAGTGCACCTAACGTGTGTGGAAGCCTGGAGTGTCCCTTTAATAATATAAACCCACCCAGTATAACTAACTGTAACCCAACCTACAAAGCGCACCTAACATTTGTGGGAGCCTGGAGTGTCCCTTTAATAATATAAACCCACCCAGTATAACTAACTGTAACCTAACCTATAAAGCGCACCTAACGTTCATGGGAGACTGGAGTGTCCCTTTAATAATATAAACCCACCCAGTATAACTAACTGTAACCTAACCTACAAAGCGCACCTAACATTTGTGGGAGCCTGGAGTGTCCCTTTAATAATATAAACCCACCCAATATAACTAACTGTAACCTAACCTATAAAGCGCACCTAACATTCGTGGGAGACTGGAGTGTCCCTTTAATAATAGAAACCCACCCAGTATAACTAACTGTAATCTAACCTACACAGTGCATCTAACGTGTGTGGGAACCAGGAGTGTCCCTTTAATAATATAAACCCACCCAGTATAACTAACTGTAACCTAACCTACAAAGCGCACCTAACATTTGTGGGAGCCTGGAGTGTCCCTTTAATAATATAAACCCACCCAGTATAACTAACTGTAACCTAACCTACAAAGCACACCTAACATTTGTGGGAGCCTGGAGTGTCCCTTTAATAATAGAAACCCACCCAGTATAACTAACTGTAACCTAATCTACACAGTGCACCTAACGTGTGTGGAAGCCTGGAGTGTCCCTTTAATAATATAAACCCACCCAGTATAACTAACTGTAACCCAACCTACAAAGCGCACCTAACATTTGTGGGAGCCTGGAGTGTCCCTTTAATAATATAAACCCACCCAGTATAACTAACTGTAACCTAACCTATAAAGCGCACCTAACGTTGTGGGAGACTGGAGTGTCCCTTTAATAATATAAACCCACCCAGTATAACTAACTGTAACCTAACCTACAAAGCGCACCTAACATTTGTGGGAGCCTGGAGTGTCCCTTTAATAATATAAACCCACCCAGTATAACTAACTGTAACCTAACCTATAAAGCGCACCTAACGTTCGTGGGAGACTGGAGTGTCCCTTTAATAATATAAACCCACCCACTATAACTAACTGTAACCTAACCTTCACAGTGCACCTAACGTGTGTGGGAGCCTGGAGTGTCCCTTTAATAATAGAAACCCACCCACTATAACTAACTGTAACCTAACCTACACAGTGCACCTAACGTGTGTGGAAGCCTGGAGTGTCTCTTTAATAATATAAACACACCCAGTATAACTATATAATCTAATTCTGTGCTCATGAGCAGTGTGAGGATTTATTGTACACGATCTCACATACCATTTGGTGTTCTCCATTCTCAACAGGTGATACTTTTTTCGTTTTGGCCTGTGGCAAACCTGGAGCTGCAGGGTCAGAAAACCCAAACAATAGCCTTATACCAACAATTACTTTAATAGCAATATTACTATAGGACCTGCTTACTACATAGTTACTCATTGTATATTTTTACTTCAGGATACTGAGGGTATATTATTACTTTATGGATACTCAGGGTATATTACTGCATGGATACTCAGGGTATATTAATACTATGGATACTCAGGACATATTAATACTATGGATACTCAGGACATATTAATTCTGTGGATACCCAGGGTATATTAATTCTGTGGATACCCAGGGTATATTAATTCTGTGGATGCTCAGGATATGTTATTTCTATAGATACTCAGGGTATATTATTACCATGGATACTCAGGGTATATTAATACTATGGATATTCAGGGAATATTAATATTGTGGATCCCCAGGGTATATTAATACTATGGATACTCAGGGTATATTAATACTGTGGATACCCAGGGTATATTAATACTATGGATACCCAGGGTATATTAATACTATGGATACTAAAGGTATATTCCGGGTATATTATATTACTCAGGGTTAGTGATGTCCCGAACGGTGTGCCAAACGGCTCGCGAACGGTTCACCACGAACTGTTCGTCGCGGACTCATCATTGAGTAAACTTTGACCATGTACCTCACAGTCAGCAGACACATTCCAGCCAATCAGCAGCAGACCCTCCCTCCCAGACCCTCCCACCTCCTGGACAGCATCCATTTTGAAGCTGCATTCTTAGTGAGCTGTCCAGGAGGTGGGAGGGAGGGTCTGCTGCTGATTGGCTGGAATGTGTCTGCTGACTGTGAGGTACAGGGTCAAAGTTTACTCAATGATGAGTCCGCGGCGAACCGTTCGCGAACCGTTCGGGACATCACTACTCAGGGTACCGTATATTACTGTATGGATACTCATTGTACATTACTGTATGGGTAGTGAGAGTATATTATTACTGTATGGATACTCAGGGTTTGTTATTACTGTATGGATACCCAGGGTATATTAATACTATGGATATTTAGGGTATATTACTGTATGGATACTCAGGGTATATTAGTACTATGGATACTCAGGATATATTAATACTGTGGATACTCAGGATATGTTATTACTCTATTGATACTCAGGGTATACTAGTACTATGGATACCCAAGATATGTTATTTCTCTGGATAATTAGGGTATAGTGTTACTATGGATACTCCGGGTATATTACTGTATGGATACTCAGGGTATATTAATACTGTGGCTACCCAGGGTATAGTAATACTATGGATATTCAGGGTATATTATTAATGTGGATACTGAGGGTATATCAATACTATGGATACTCAGGATATATTAATACTGTGGATACTCAAGGTATATTAATACTAAGGATACCCAGGGTATAGTAATACTATGGATATTCAGGGTATATTATTAATGTGGATACTGAGGGTATATCAATACTATGGATACTCAGGATATATTAATACTGTGGATACTCAAGGTATATTAATACTATGGATACCCAGGGTATTGTAATACTATGGATACTCAGGGTATATTATTACTGTTGATACTCAGGGTTTATCAATACTATGGATACTCAGGGTATATTATTACTGTGGATACTCAGGGTATATTAATACTATAGATACTCAGGGTATATTAATACTGTGGATACTCAGGGTATATTACTTCTATGGATACCCAGGGTATACAGTTGCAAGTATGTGAACCCTTTGGAATGATATGGATTTCTGCACAAATTGGTCATAAAATGTGATCTGATCATCATCTAAGTCACAACAATAGACAATCACAGTCTGCTTAAACTTATAACACACAAAGAATGAAATGTTGCCATGTTTTTATTGAACACACCATGTAAACATTCACAGTGCAGGTGGAAAAAGTATGTGAACCCCTAGACTAATGACATCTCCAAGAGCTAATTGGAGTGAGATGTCAGCCAACTGGAGTCCAATCAATGATATGAGATTGGAGGTGTTGGTTACAGCTGCCCTGCCCTATAAAAAACACACACCAGTTCTGGGTTTACTTTTCACAAGAAGCATTGCCTGATGTGAATGATGCCTCGCACAAAAGAGCTCTCAGAAGACCTATGATTAAGAATTGTTGACTTGCATTAAGCTGGAAATGGTTATATAAAAGTATCTCCAAAAGCCTTGCTGTTCATCAGTCCACGGTAAGACAAATTGTCTATAAATGGAGAACGTTCAACACTGCTGCTACTCTCCCTAGGAGTGGCAGTCCTGTAAAGATGACTGCAAGAGCACAGCGCAGACTGCTCAATGAGGTGAAGAAGAATCCTAAAGTGTCAGCTAAAGACTTACAAAAGTCATTGGCAAATGCTAACATCCCTGTTAGCGAATCTACAATACGTAAAACACTAAAGAAGAATGGATTTCATGGGAGGGTACCACATAGGAAGCCACTGCTGTCCAAACAAAACATTGCTGCACGTTTACAGTTTGCACAAGAGCACCTGGATGTTCCACAGCAGTACTGGCAAAATATTCTGTGGACAGATGAAACCAAAGTTGAGTTGTTTGGAAGAAACACACAACACTATGTGTGGCGAAAAAAAGGCACAGCACACCAACATCAAAACCTCATCCCAACTGTGAAGTATGGTGGTGGGGGCATCATAGTTTGGGGCTGCTTTGCTGCGTCAGGGCCTGGACGGATTGCTATCATCGAAGGAAAAATTAATTCCCAAGTTTATCAAGACATTTTGCAGGAGAACTTAAGGCCATCTGTCTACCAGCTGAAACTCAACAGAAGATGGGTGTTGCAACAGGACAATGACCCAAAGCATAGAAGTAAATCAACAACATAATGGCTTAAACAGAAGAAAATACGCCTTCTGAAGTGGCCCAGTCAGAGTCCTGACCTCAACCCGATTGAGATGCTGTGGCATGACCTCAAGAAAGCGATTCACACCAGACATCCCAAGAATATTGCTGAACTGAAACAGTTCTGTAAAGAGGAATGGTCAAGAATTACTCCTGACCGTTGTGCACGTCTGATCTGCAACTACAGGAAACGTTTGGTTGAAGTTATTGCTGCCAAAGGAGGTTCAACCAGTTATTAAATCCAAGGGTTCACATACTTTTTCCACCTGCACTGTGAATGTTTACATGGTGTGTTCAATAAAAACATGGCAACATTTCATTCTTTGTGTGTTATTAGTTTAAGCAGGCTGTGATTGTCTATTGTTGTGACTTAGATGATGATCAGATCACATTTTATGACCAATTTGTGCAGAAATCCATATCATTCCAAGGGGGTTCACATACTTTTTCTTGCAATTGTATTAATACTATAGATACTCAGGGTATATTAATACTGTGGATACTCAAGGTATATTACTACTATGGATACCCAGGGTATATTAATACTATAGATACTCAGGGTATATTATTACTGTATGGATATTCAGGGTATATTAATACTATAGATACTCAGGGTATATTATTATTTTATGGATACTCAGGGTATATTAATACTATAGATACTCAGGGTATATTATTACTGTGGATACTCAGGGTATATTAATACAATGGATACTCAGTGTATATTATTACTGTGAATACTCAGGGTATATTAATACTATGGATACTCAGTATATATTATTACTGTGGATACTCAGGGTATATTAATACTATGGATACTCAGGGTATATTATTACTGTGGATACTCAGGGTATATTAATACTATGGATACTCAGTGTATATTATTACTGTGGATACTCAGGGTATATTAATACTATGGATACTCAGTGTATATTATTACTGTGAATACTCAGGGTATATTAATACTATGGATACTCAGTATATATTATTACTGTGGATACTCAGGGTATATTAATACTATGGATACTCAGGGTATATTATTACTGTGGATACTCAGGGTATATTAATACTATGGATACTCAGTGTATATTATTACTGTGGATACTCAGGGTATATTAATACTATGGATACTCAGTGTATATTATTACTGTGAATACTCAGGGTATATTAATACTATGGATACTCAGTATATATTATTACTGTGGATACTCAGGGTATATTAATACTATGGATACTCAGTGTATATTATTTCTGTGGATACTCAGGGTATATTAATACTATGGATACTCAGTGCATATTATTACTGTGGATACTCAGGGTATATTAATACTATGGATACTCAGGGTATATCACTGTATGGGTACTCAGGATATACTATTACTTTATAGATTCCATGTCTATAACTTGGATAGCACAGCTGCTGTTGTATTATTTTGCTCACCTGTAGGGAGACTTGTTCTTTGCATTACAACTTCGGGTAATTTCCAGTAGCCACTATCCTCGTCCCATGATGCCTCTCTCCTGATCCTGTCTAAGTTGCTATAATTGCAGTCTCGCCGGATGAGTGACTGGATCTGACCCAGAATCTGCTGATAAAGAAGGAGTTCTCTCTCTTGCCGGCGGATTGTGACGAGGTAATCATTTCGATCCCGCTCAAACTCTGCATGCAGATCCTCAATCTCAATCTCAGCAGCTCTCAGCTACAATTCAAAGAGCAAAGGAAGAAAAAAGGACAAGAAGGAAAGAATAACGAGAAGGAAGAAATGGAGGGGAAGGAAGGAGGGAGGACGAATGAAAGAACATTAGACGTAAGTTTCCATGATCTAAACCTATTTCACCCCCCCCCTCCACTCCACTTCTCCTCACAGGGAAGTATCCCTCTATCTGACCAGCCAAGGTTATAGTGAGATCGCCCATCAAACGTCCATCTCTTTTCGGGGTAAGATGTACCTGAGCTTTGATCTTTAAATCCCCCAAGCCTGTGTTTCAGGAATACTTATTGTGTCGTACTCACATCCCTAGATACTCTGACTATTCTCTGTCACCACTCTCACCAATGTCTTCGTACATTCTGTCTAGATTATAGCTACATGTTCTCACCTTTTTCTGTTTCTTCTCCAAGAGTCTGTTCTTGACCTGCAGTTCCTCTTGGATTGATTCATAAACATTGACCAGGGCCCGATCACTACCATCCTCATCTATACTCTGCAGAGCAGCTACCAGCTCCCTCTTCCGCTCATCGGCATACTTTTTACGGTGCTTCTGCTTCTCCTTCAGATCCTTATTTTTAGCTTGTTCCCCACCCACCACCTGTTGCTCCAGGATCTGAAGCCTGTAACAGGGAGACATATTTACGTGACTGTTAATAGTGTGATCCTACAAGCCGTTTAAAGCAACAATGGGCAGAGATAACAGATGAAACAAAGAAGGACATCCAACATCAATGAAAGAAACATACAGCAGGTGTGACAAACACTCCCAGAATGCTCTGCGCTCCACAGCCTGGCATAGAATTAAACTGCAATCTGGGTGCCAGCTAGTTATACAGTTAGAAGATTAGATGCCTAGTTTAACTGCTTAAGGAAAATATATAAAATAAAATCAGTAAAGGATGCACCCTCAGTTTGAATTAATCTGTCTGTTCTATTATTAACAGAAGATTGCAGTTTGTACCCAACCTGGCAAGCACTTGTTGGGGGCTCACAGCACTCGGGGTCTCCTCTGGAGGATGCAACGTGACTGCGGCAGGCTCTGATACTGGACTCTGGAGGTTGACCTCCACCTGGGAAATTGCAGATTCTGGATGCTGTGGAAAGCAAAACAGTTTTAAACAATCCCTGTTCTAGCAGTGTCTTCATCAACATATTGTTCCTGTCCCAATCTAATAGTTTGTCTCATTTGTTCTTAAATTCCCCCTTTATAATATTGTAAAGTGCTGTGGAACAAGTTGGCGCTATATAAATGTCAATAGTAATAATTTATCAAAATCTCTTTATATTTACATATATGTTGGTGAGGGGTAGAAGCGCCCTCTACTGAAAATATTATTTTATTATCACATTACTGGATAAAACATTTTAGAAAGGCACTGTGTCCTTGGGCGCATGCACTACTCTATCAATACACCCATATGTACTGTTAGAAGGCCACAGACATGACCAGATTTACTTTAATGGGACACTTCAGACTGAATCTGTCCCATTTCTTTTTATGTATTTTGAAATAAGTGTGTTAAATATATGCATATAATCAATAGAAATAATTTGTAAAAATGATATACACATTTGAAATTCCTGCATTTCCTGCTCACTTCAGGTTGTGTGGATTCACAACGAGCTCTCGTGAAGCAGATATCGACTGGTGCTTACTGTGATTTCTATAGCAGTAATGAGCTTTTACCATAAGAAATATTTTTTAGCAGCAAGGGTTTCTGGGAGTGATAATTTTATTGTCAGCTTTCTGATTTAAACGCATTTAGGTCAGATTGCTTTCATACCTGTGCGGATGCTATATCAGTTGGGCTGGAAATTACAGTCACGGAATTCACTTCACCAGCTGTAAAAAGAATATATCCATTAATTCCATGTGTTAAATGTCTACATCTAATATAATGATTACTGTGGCAGAAATGCCTCTGCCACATGTTCATCGAGGGGCCTGATTGCCAGCCTCCTGCCAAAAGACTATGGGCCCTTTAAAAACTTATGTGATTTATATACTTTTGTACTCCAAAAAACCTTTGGCCCTAATTCCCTGGAATTGTCTTGGGCATAGGACCATGTGCACGGTCGGTCAAAATTATGACTTCCATGGAAATTCCGAACTCCTGAACTGATCTGGGTGATATTTGGTCCCCCAGATCGGGGCTATCAGGGGATATGACTTTTGTGGGGTTTTCATGCGTTTTAGGGCTACCTTTGGGTTATTGTAAAATATATGTTTGCTGTGCCTGGAGATAATTGAGTTTAGTACAGTTCCTGACTCAATTATATCTCAGGCACGGGGGAGGGATTATCCTGTTTTGTGTGGGAGTGTCCTGAACCTGAGAGCCAATGTAATTACAGTGGTGAATGCCCCTGGAATATGTTATGGAAAACCCCTTGCATGGGGACTTGCATATAAGGCCAGTTGTGGCTGCCATTAAAGAGTTCTACTTCACCCTCAACACAGAGCCTCGTCTCGTGCTTGTAGGGAACAGCTATATTACTAGCTCTTGTAAGAGCTATCCTGCTATACTCTCTGGAGGAGGAGAGGTCTACCCACTGGAAGCTGGATCCCTGACTTGGGTTCAGGGTGGGTGGAGGAGGGTGAGACCCCAGCCAAGCTGCAGCGGCTAAATGCCTACAGTGGTTATGGTGTCTGGTGGAGTGCTTGGAAGTACTCCGAGGTACTAGGAAGCAGTGATTGGTGGATGCACCCATTCAGGGTGTCAAGCGGTCTGCCACATCTGGTGGCAGCGCTGGGATGGCTTCCTAGGGAATATAGAAGCATCCTGAAGACACCGGAATCGTTATGGATTTATAATTGAGGGCAACGCTAGTATTCGCACATCGCCCCTGTATACAGCTAGTCCATGGACAGCGTTCACATATGAGGAGGAGTTTCGCTGGAGGTTGCAGCACCACTTGGCCCAACCAACAGGATGGGCCTGAATCAGAGGAGAACATACTGGACTACAGAGATGTCACTAGAAAGGAGCTTTGGGACGAAACCTTGGAGGGTGTACAGGGTTGATCAACCAGCACTCACTTGCAATTCTGAGACTGTCTCGAAACTTCAGTAAACACTAACAAAGCCCCGCTGGCTCAGGATCAGACTTAACACTTTGCTGGAGTCTGGACACCATATATGCAAGTAGGAATGATCTAGAAGTTACACTTTCACTCGTCCTGAACAGGAGTTCAGGACGGACCAGAATGAGAGGCTCCTGATTGGTAGTGAGAGAGCGCTGTCAGTACTATAGAGATCCTCTCTAACCAACTGCAGAAGTTTAAAGGTGCATATATTTCTTATTGACATTTTTATTTCTTGGTTTTGCATAATTTTAATTATTGTAGTATTTACTTTTAAAAACATAGGGATCATATTTTTGGCAACATTTTACATTCAAGCCAAAATAATTATTGCATGCTCTTTACACCTGAAACTGTAATGAATAATAGAGATTTTCTAAACTTTTTGGGATTTATTTACTAAACATGAAACTACTGAGCGTTAAACAGAAAATTGCAAATTCAAGATGTTTTTAGTAAGTTGGAGTTCCCCGATATCACAGCTAATGAAATAAAAATAAGGATTTCAGTATGTATCATTTCATGGATTGTTGATTATGAACCAATTACCTGAATGTTTTCTTATCTCTTCCATGCTGGCGAGCTTCAGATCGTATGAATTCCGTAAATTGCTAATGTCCTCTTCCAGACGCACACGAGACTTTTGTTCCGCTTCGTATTCTGCCTTCAGCTGCGCAAACTTTTCCTCGTACTCCTAAAAGTAACAGATGGCTTAGTAATGTAATCAAATCCATCAGAGATTGACCTGGGAAATACAGATATAATGGAAAACAACCAAACTTTAAACAAAGCATGTTCTGACCTAAATTTCTCATTTCTCTTGTCAGCTAGTACTTAGTGAATTATCTTACAAATAAATATGTATAGTAATGAAACTAATCAATTTATCACTTGGCGTACGCAGTATTCGGACGCTTACTAGGGCGTTACCTGTCTGATCTTTCGCTTCTCAGCCTCTGCGTCCATTTCAGGACCGTTTGATTGCACCTCTGGCGGTTTCACCGGTAATGCCGCAAACACTGTAGGTAGAGAATCAAGAGCCGTTTGTTGACTTGACAATTGTTTAATTAATAACCAATGGGCGAGATGCACCAGGTAGTTTGGATGTCAGACTCTAATTGTCATCAGGAAATAAATCATTGAAATCTAAAAACTAGTAAGGATGTGCAGCCCAGTGCATTTAACCAAGGAGGTTCCCTGTGGGAATTTATCCTCTAGAAGGATTGGCAAAAGACAGATAGCGCTATTCATTAAACCCAGAACTGGAAGAACTGTCTTGGGATTTATGACTTTTAGCCAAAAACTGCAAAAGAGAGAAAATGGTTTGGACTGTGATAAGAGAGTATTTTTTTTTTCATTTAAGGTTTTTATTGTGTTTTAACATAAGGGGGTGAGGATACAGAAAATAAAAGATAGCTTGATGGGGCAGGGCTAACTGGTGACTCTCTGCATGTAGCTCAATTAGCCAGGGATAGCTAAGGGACTCTCTGCAGGCAGCTCGATCAGCCAGGGATAGCTGAGGGACTCTCTGCAGGCAGCTCGATCAGCCAGGGATAGCTGAGGGACTCTCTGCAGGCAGCTCGATCAGCCAGGGATAGCTAAGGGACTCTCTGCAGGCAGCTCGATCAGCCAGGGATCAGCCAGGGATTGCTAAGGGACTCTCTGCAGGCAGCTCGATCAGCCAGGGATAGCTGAGGGACTCTCTGCAGGCAGCTCGATCAGCCAGGGATAGCTGAGGGACTCTCTGCAGGCAGCTCGATCAGCCAGGGATAGCTAAGGGACTCTCTGCAGGCAGCTCGATCAGCCAGGGATAGCTGAGGGACTCTCTGCAGGCAGCTCGATCAGCCAGGGATAGCTGAGGGACTCTCTGCAGGCAGCTCGATCAGCCAGGGATAGCTAAGGGACAGCTGGCAGGCAGCTCGATCAGCCAGGGATAGCTGAGGGACTCTCTGCAGGCAGCTCGATCAGCCAGGGATAGCTAAGGGACTCTCTGCAGGCAGCTCGATCAGCCAGGGATAACTGAGGGACTCTCTGCAGGCAGCTTGATAAGCCAGGGATAGCTAAGGGACTCTCTGCAGGCAGCTTGATCAGCCAGGGATAGCTGAGGGACTCTCTGCAGGCAGCTCGATCAGCCAGGGATAGCTGAGGGACTCTCTGCAGGTATTGATGGGGCACGAATAGTTAAGGAACTCTCTGTAGCTTGTTTGATGGGACACGAATAGCTGAGGGACCCTTGGCAGGTTTATTCCATCTGCCCACTTTACACAAAGTACATTACCTATAATAAGTAAGGAAAACCACTCAGCCAGTTACCTGGCAGGTCTTTTCCTGAACTTTGCTCCATCAGCATGACCTTCAACTTTTTAATTTCCTCCTGGTACTCTCTGAGCAAAGCATCTTTGGGGTCCTCGTTAATGCGTGGTTTATTCTTGATGTTTTTAGCTCGGTTGGCATATCGCAGAGTGCTCAGGGTCTCATCATAGTTGTTGTCAGCGGGAGATAGACAAGCCACCATCAGGGTCTTTGTGTTGCCCCCTAAAGAGTCCTGCAGCATGCGGGTCAGCTTGGAGTCCCTGTAAGGAATATGTTTGGCCTTTCCATCTACTAGAGCAGAGATGACATTTCCCAAAGCTGAAAGGGACAGGTTTATTTTGGTGGCTTCTTTAAGCCTCTCTCCTGTAGCCCCAGTTTTTGATTGCCTCTCGCTGCCTGCAAGGTCGACCAGATTAAGTTTTCCAGCACGGAGATGATCTTCCCCTTTTTCATCTGTGTATAAAGAGGTCATAATTAATACCATGAAGACTTTATAGACACTTATCTGTTACTCTTAAATGTCCTAGTCTAGGACGGACAGTCCCTATTTTCAGGCCAAACCCTTCTGACCTATTTTCTATCCCAATGTCCCTCTTTTCTAGGAGCTCCATAGTGTTGGTGTGTCTGAGTGTATAACAGAGCTCCACAGCAATAATACTCCCAGTAATGTGTCTGAGTGTATAACAGAGCTCCACAGCAATAATACTCCCAGTAATGTGTCTGAGCGTATAACAGAGCTCCACAACAATAATACTCCCAATAATGTGTCTGAGCGTATAACAGAGCTCCACAGCAATAATACTCCCAGTAATGTGTCAGAGCGTATAACAGAGCTCCACAGCTATAACACTCCCAGTAATGTGTCTTTACACTGCACTAAATTATATTAATTCACGATACCATAAATGGTTATCAGTAGGTCATGAAGAGAGCAAAAAAATGGGTTGCAAGAGTATACTGAGAACGGGCAGCAGCTGAAATAGGCTGCCCTTCGGTGGGTCCCCGCTCAGATCTCAAGCTGGTTTTTGCTCATCTTGTGCCATTACATAGAGAACATCTCTGAAACATATCAGAGTGATCCCACCCATACAGGCAGTCCAGATCCGAAATGCCAGCAAGTTCTCTCTGCACGAGAGACACAGCAACCCCAGACGATCGTTTCAGCCTTGTTAGGCATCATCAGTGAGGCATAGCTGATATCTCCCTATGCACCGTGAGCAAGGGGTCCACGTCTGGATTATCCCTTTAAACTTGTGGAGAGCAAAAAAATGGGTTGCAAGAGTATACTGAGAACGGGCAGCAGCTGAAATAGCCTGCCCTTCGGTGGGTCCTGAAGTAATCAAAGATGGCATATGATAGCCCCGCCCATTGACACGCCTCCATCCAATTCCCCTAAAATGAATGGTTTATTTTTTTTATGTGAAATGTGAAATGTTGGTGTACATTCTTATTGACTGCACCACTTTGTAATCAGCCAAATTCATACCTGTAGAGCAGATTTCAATATTGATGGTGAAGATTGAATGTGAGCGTGAGGAGTCCTTGTTCATCAGTGTGTATCCAACCGATCGATTCTTCCAACCCGTGTCCATGATCCTCTCGCAATCTGCCACGCGATGCACCGTGTGCATGGATAAACCCTTTACATATACCCCTCTGTCCGGGTGCTCTTTCAGCTGCAAATACATAATAACTAAGTACTGATGACTGTGGCCTTAACGGTAAAATAGCTAATCACACGGAACAGACTGCCAGACCTGGGCGCCAATTAAAATAAACACTCAGATTTCAGAATTATAGAGAGGTAAAATCACGCCATATGAACAAACAGAAGAGTGATGGATAAAGATGGCATCATAAGAATTACATACAAAGCAGGAAAGCCTAGCTAATCATGCCAGGCTATTCTAAACAAGGGAATGTGCCAGGCTATTCTAAACGAGGGAACGTGCCAGGCTATTCTAAACGAGGGAACATGCCAGACTATACTAAACGAGGGAACATGCCAGGCTATAAACTAAACGAGGGAACGTGCCAGACTATACTAAACGAGGGAACGTGCCAGACTATACTAAACAAGGGAACATGCCAGGCTATACTAAACAAGGGAACATGCCAGGCTATACTAAACGAGGGAACATGCCAGACTATACTAAACGAGGGAACATGCCAGGCTATATAGAATGAGGGAACATGCCAGGTTATTCTAAACAAGGTAATATGCCAGGCTATTCTAAACGAGGTGACATGCCAGGCTATACTAAATGAGGGAGGATGCCAGGCTATACTGAGTGAGGGAGCATGCCAGGCTATACTAAACGATTGAACATGACAGGCTATACTAAACAAGGGAGCATGCCAGGCTATACTAAGTGAGGGAACATGCCAGGCTATTTTAAACGACGGAACGTGCCAGACTATTCTAAACGAGGGACCATGCCAGGCTATACTAAACGAGGGAACGTGCCAGGCTATACAAAGCGTGGGAACGTGCCAGGCTATTCTAAACAAAGACCATGCCAGGCTATACTAAACGAGGGAACATGCCAGGCTATACAAAGCGAGGGAACGTGCCAGGCTATACTAAACAAGGGACCATGCCAGGCTATACTAAACGAGGGAACGTGCCAGGATATTCTAAACGAGGGACCATGCCAGGCTATACTAAACGAGGGAACATGCCAGGCTATCCTAAGCGAGGGAACATGCCAGGCTATTCTAAACAAGGGACCATGCCAGGCTATTCTAGACAAGGGACCATGCCAGGCTATACTAAATGAGGGAACATGCCAGGCTATACTAAATGAGGGAACATGCCAGGCTATTCTAAACGAGGGAACATGCCAGGCTATACTAAGCAAGGGAATGTGCCAGGCTATTCTAAACGAGGGACCATACCAGGTTATACTAAATGAGGGAACATGCCAGGCTATACAATGTGAGGGAACGTGCCAGGCTATTCTAAACGAGGGACCATGCCGGGCTATACTAAGCGAGGGAACGTGCCAGGCTATACTAAACGAGGGACCATGCCAGGCTATACTAAATGAGGGAACATGCCAGGCTATTCTAAATGAGGGAACATGCCAGGCTATACTAAGCAAGGGAACGTGCCAGGCTATTCTAAACAAGGGACCATACCAGGCTATTCTAAACGAGGGAACATGCCAGGCTATACAAAGTGAGGGAACGTGCCAGGCTATTCTAAACGAGGAACAATGCCAGGCTATACTAAACAAAGGAAGATACCAGGCTATACTAAACGAGGGAACATGCCAGGCTATACAAAGGAAGGCTATTCTAAACGAGGGACCATGCCAAGCTATACTAAACGAGGGAAAGTGCCAGGCTATACTAAGCAAAGGAACGTGCCAGGCTATTCCAAACGAGGGACCATGCCAGGCTATACTAAACAAGGGACCATGCCAGGCTATACTAAATGAGGGAACTTGCCAGGCTATACTAAATGAGGGAACTTGCCAGGCTATTCTAAATGAGGGACCATGCCAGGCTATACTAAACGAGGGAACATGCCTGGCTATTCTAAACGAGGGACCATACCAGGTTATACTAAATGAGGGAACATGCCAGGCTATACAATGTGAGGGAACGTGCCAGGCTATTCTAAACGAGGGACCATGCCAGGCTATACTAAACGAGGGAACGTGCCAGGCTATACTAAACGAGGGACCATGCCAGGCTATACTAAATGAGGGAACATGCCAGGCTATTCTAAATGAGGGAACATGCCAGGCTATACTAAGCAAGGGAACGTGCCAGGCTATTCTAAACAAGGGACCATACCAGGCTATTCTAAACGAGGGAACATGCCAGGCTATACAAAGTGAGGGAACGTGCCAGGCTATTCTAAACGAGGAACAATGCCAGGCTATACTAAACAAAGGAAGATACCAGGCTATACTAAACGAGGGAACATGCCAGGCTATACAAAGGAAGGGAACGTGCCAGGCTATTCTAAACGAGGGACCATGCCAAGCTATACTAAACGAGGGAAAGTGCCAGGCTATACTAAGCAAAGGAACGTGCCAGGCTATTCCAAACGAGGGACCATGCCAGGCTATACTAAACAAGGGACCATGCCAGGCTATACTAAATGAGGGAACTTGCCAGGCTATACTAAATGAGGGAACTTGCCAGGCTATTCTAAATGAGAGACCATGCCAGGCTATACTAAACGATGCCTGGCTATTCTAAACGAGGGACATGCCAGGCTATACTAAACGAGGGCTATTCTAAACGAGGGACCATGCCAGGCTATACTAAACGAGGGAACATGCCAGACTATACTAAACTAGGGGACATGCCAGGCTATTCTAAACGAGGGAACATGCCAGGCTTCTCTTCTGGGAAGGCTTTCCACAAGACTTTGCAGTGTTTCTGTGGGAATTTTAGCCGATTCATCCAGTAAAGCGTTTGGGAGGTCAGGCAGTGATGTTGGACGAGAAGGACTGGCTCGCAATCTCCATTCCAGTTCATCCCAAAGGTGTTTGATGGGGATGAGGTCAGGGCTCTGTGCGGGCCAGTCAAGTTCTTCCACACACAACTCATCATGGACCTTCCCCAAACTGTCCCCACAAGGTTGGAAGCATAGTATTTTCCAAAATGTCTTGATATGCTGAAACATTAAGATTTCCCTTTACTGGAAGTAAGGACCTAACACAACCCCTGAAAAACAGCCCCATAGCATTATCCCTCCTCCCCCAAACTTTACAGATTACATTGTAGTCAGCCTGACTCGCCCATCAGACTGCCAAACAGAGAAGCGTGATTCGTTACTCTACAGAGCTTTACACAACTCGATCTGACGCTTGGCATTGTACTTGGTGATGTGAGGCTTGTATGCAGCTGCTTGGCCATGGAAACCCATTCCACGAGGCTCCCGCAGCACACTTTTTCCCCCCCGATATTAATGCCAGAGGAAGATTGGAACTCTTCAGCAATGGATTCATGCAGAGCATTGGTGACTTGTATGCACCATGCGCCTCAGCCCTCGATGACCCCGCTCTGTGACTTTACATGGAGGCTGAGTTGCTGCTGTTCCTTACACTTCCACTTTCCAATAATTACACTAAAAGTTGACTGTGGAATATCAAGCAGGGATGAAATTTCACAAACTGGCTTATTGCAAAGGTGGCATCCTATCACAGTACCACGCTTAAATTCACTGAACCAATGGCCTGTTAAATGTTTGTGGCTAGGTGCTTGCCTTTATACACCTGTGACAATGGGTATGATTGAATATATCAAACAGAGAATGCACACTGGAATGACTAGGAAGAGTTATGCAAATACTTTAATAAACCAATAATTGGTACAATAAGCGTAAAGCAAATATACAAAGTGACAATATAAAGGCATAGCAAAACAAACAGTAATAATTACCACAATTCTCACAAGCCTATTATGGCAGAAACACGAGCCCCCAATACCCCCAACGTTTTGGCACCTACTGGCTGCCTTTTTCAAGGGTGTTTGTATCATAACTTACCAAAATCCACTTATATAACCGCCATACATCTGATGGCCATCAGTAATCCAACAGGTACGAAACCGGAAGGGACATCATCACTTCCGTTATCAGTCCAAAACATATCCATAAACATCTACATCATTACATGCACCATTCAATAAAAACTGTAGTACTAATACTCTTATCCTCTGGGCACACTAGAACCACAGATTATAATACATAAATCCGCAAGCAAACTCGCACATGCGCAATCGCTAGTGGCCATATGAAATGCCATTAAAGCTACTGGAAAAAATGCCCATAGTAGCTACAGAAAAGTCAGTCGCACATGCGCCGTTACAGTAACAACCAGAATACCGCGCATGCGTTATGATAGGCAAGCGCTGTTTATATATATATCAGTATGGTTAACCATAGGTCCATCACCATATGATGCACAGCAATGCCATATAATCCTTAAAGATGTACCCATCCATAAATAATAGTAATAGAGGGAAAATGGAAAAGAAGTAAGTTAAAACAGGCAAAAAAAGAAAAATAGCATGCTCCTACTAAAGTATTTAAAGCACTATAATAACACAATACAAATAATTAAATACCATCACCAAATAACAAAGTAACACCAAGGTGAAGTGCAAGTTTATTTAATAATATTAAAATAACCTTGTGTGGTTATAATGGCTGAAAAACAAGTATCCACATAGACATTATACATTCCATATCCATTGTATAAAAGATAAATAGTATGTACCAAAATACGCTATATTAAAGTTATACATACTAGATTTACAGAGAAAATACAATTAACAAAAGTGTAAAAGAAAATCCCCATTTAATCAGTAATATGATACCAGTATACTCAATATCTCCAATGTAAAAAAGGGGGCTTTTGAATATACCAAATATAACTATATATCTTAGCGCTACAAAGTATACATCCCATAATATTAGTATTACCATTACAACAAATTAATACAAGCAATGTGTTCATAACCTCTACAATGTTTAGTGTCAATACAAACAAAGAGACCAAAAATAACATATTTTAACCAGCACACAAAATTGCTGTATAGTGTACTCATATCTTGATGCTCCACACATTGTCAGCCCCAAAAGCTTCGCTGAGTAGATCGTAGGAAACTTGAAAGAACTCCCAAATACTGCATCCAAAGGATCCTACGAGATTCCTATATAACTTCCTCAGGTTCAATAGATGTCCGTACGTCCAGACACATATACAACCATATAATACCACACCGAATGGGTCTGATTGAAAACCTGAATGCAATCATTAAAGGTGGATCAAGCAGTTCGTCAGGAACAGAGGAGCATCTGATAATATCCGTAGAGTCCTTAACCTCATTTACAAAGTTAAGACCAAACAAAATCAAAGCCGCCTTTTTGGCCTTAGATGCCGAAAAGGCCTTTGAAAGATTAAATTGGCAATTTATGGACCTGGTATTACAAAAATAGTTTAATAGGCAAATTTAGAAATAGCGTTATGATCCTATATTCAAACCCAACCTGGAAACATATCAGCATTAAACAGTTTTTAAAGTTTTAATGCTAAACAAGAGTCCCTGGCAATCCATCCCCTCTGTGCTGCTTTGGCTAATAAGGAAGTATTAGCCTGAGCAGCAATGGGCAGCTGTGATTGGCTGAGAGTGTCAGCTGACTGCTTTTAGCCTGTCAGAGTTCCAACTGACGGTATGAATGGGTATGACAACAAGGAAGTGTGTAATCTCTGCCTTAGCTACACATACTGAAAGGGCAGGACTGTGGGTGGCCAGGGACTCTTAATTTGAGGCATACTGCACGAACATGGGGCAACACTGAATGGAGAGACAATGCCAGGGCACTCCAGACACTATAACCGATTCAAAGAGATGAAATGCTTATAGTGACTACAGTGTCCCTTTAATCTCAGTGTAATTTTAACAGAAATTCTAGGGAAAGAGTTCTTTCTATCCTCACATCAGTTTCTATTCCATCTAGATTTTCCTTGTGAGAAACCCCTTTCTTTCCTAATGATCCATATTATTATATATTATCCATAATCTGTATAGCGAGAAATTGGAAAAAGCAAGGCCATCAAAACTGGAATTAAATAATAAATCGAATGAACTATCAATGTTCAAAACAGAAAGGTTATTACGTAATGAACAACGAAGGGAGCTTATACTTAAAAATCTGGAATAAATGGCAAACATCCTCTTTTAGTAATAGACATGGGTATTCAGATTTATACAATGGTAAATAAATAAATAAATAAACATGGTATAGGACAATCGCAAATTCATGACATGGCCCTTTCCCTTCTCTCCCCCCGTGTCAGTATTAATGTAGAATGGAGTAGGAATGTTTTAGAAAGTATGTAGTTAAGATTAGAAATGGAAAATGATGTATTATTGTTACTTTAATAATAACGATGTAAGGTTCATTTTCTATTTTTTGTCATTTTAATACCTCAATAAAGAATTAAATGAAAAAATAAATTTAAAGGTGTATCCCAGTACTTTTGTCCATATTTTTTCCAGGTTTCCACAAGAGTGTTAGTAAGGCAGGCTACATCTTAGTCTGAGCACGTAGCATGCTCTCTATGGGACATTACAAAGGTTCATATATGAAACATTTTCTGCTATTCCCTTGTCTCATCCTGTGCCACATTTTATCCCTCCGCCAAAACCACATCCCACCTTCTATCCGTTACCTCTAGTTTCTGTTTAGTGTCTTCTCCAAGAAGATCTCGGATCTCCTCGTTGTAAATTTCCAGATATGATGCTCGAACCAAAAACTTTGTGTTTTCTGCACACTGAATAAGAACGAGATAAAACATTTAAACAGCTATTCACTAAAGAGTCAGGAATTCAATTTGTTACTAAAATGAGTTTCACATTTTAGGTCAGAATAATTGAATTGGATAAAATTCTCTAAATCACCTTATCATTTGGGCTACTTTGGCTTAAAATATGAAATTAGCTTTAAACTCCAGACTCCTTTGAGTTTTGACTCCTCATGTTTTCCTCTCTGAGCTCTCTATAAAATAGGATGAATTCCGTATGATCTCTCTCCCACCATAATCCTATGCCCTTTCTAAGAGAAACATTATTACTTGTTAACATTGGCTCTTCTCCTTTCCAATCTGAAATCCAAACGCTGAAATTTCTCTGTCATTATTTCTAAGAAATAAGATTTTAGCGTTAAAGCGCACTGTGCAAGCTTCTATGGGGTGTCACTGAGACGTGCGGTTCTAAACAGTGAATTCTAGTGACTTGCAAATTGAAGCCAAAGGGGCAGCTTTGAAAAAACTGCCATGAGATTTTTTTTTTTTTTTTTTTGACAATCTTTATTTTTCCATTTATTTTATACAGCACGTTTAGATCAGTACACACAGTCAAACATGTTCACCTCCTTATACAGGAGCCAGGTAGTAAAAGTAACATACTCCAGATAGGCCCCCCCAACCTCCTGAAATTTGACAGAGTCATAGCATTTGAGTTAGGCTAGGTTTTTGACTGCGCTGGTATATCTGCGCGGCACACAGGACCGCAATCTCGGGACCCCCGGAGAGCACATGTGACCCATGCGCCGGGTGGGGCATGGGATATGTGGCTTGTCCTTTTGCCTTTTGAACGGGCATTCTTAACTGCATGTTACCCCTGCCGCCGTATACAAGGAGGCCCTCTAGTGGGTTCGCCCCTGGCCCATTATTCCCTCGGTACCCTCCGACCTCCTACACTGGGTTGATGGTTCGTGGGCGAGGTCCGTCCGCTGCCGGTTGCCTTCCAAGGTCACCGTGCCCTTTCTCCTCCCCTAGCGTAAGTATCCTGAGCCCCCTAGGGGTCAAATCAGGTACCATCTCCTGTATTGAGTCTGAGGCCCGGGATGAGCCAAGTGTGTGAGGCTGAAGGCGCCAGAGGACCTCCCCTCGTACCATCCGGATGCTTTGTTAGCCCCCATCCCTCCACTCTGACCCCCCTCGTCCTGTACGACACCCATCCGCTCCCAAGATATTCCGAAGTCTTTCCAACCCGCTATCTCCCTATGCCTCCGTGGACTAGCTCCAGTCCTTGCTTTGTACTTCCAGCCCCCATCCCCAAATCACTCTGAATGCTAAGTTAGGGGGTGAGTGAGCCTGTATGCCTACTCTCGGGTAAGTGTCTCCGTGCGTCATCTGTCTGGGAGGGACTGAGGGGCATGTGAAGGGAAGTCATAGTCGTCTGGATGGGGAAGTGTGCCCCCCCCTATACAGGGAGGCGCCCCGGCACAGTCAAGTCATTGTGGATGAGGAAAGCCGTACCGGTGCGAGAGCGCCACCTTCCCCCGGCCGGGCTCCCCCCGCGGCCCCCCTGGCCGTGTACTCCGTCCAAGGAAACCATGTGAGCGCACATTTATCCGAGCGCCCCTGCAGAGACGCAGTCATCAATTCCATGTTGTGAATCGTTTCCACCCTGTCAATCCATTGGTGGAGCGAGGGGGCTGCCTGACTTCTCCATAGCATGGGGATGAGGGATTTTGCTGCCGTGAGAAGGTGTATTACCAAGCCCTTCTTGTAAGCGGAAATTGGCATGCTCGTATGATTCAGTAGCATTGGCAGCGGCTGGAATGGGATGTCCGTCCCAGTAACATCTTTAATCCCTTTATGTATCGCTCTCCAGAAAGGTTCGATGCGGGGACACGACCACCACATGTGGATCCCAGAGCCATCCGCATCTCCACACCTCCAGCACTCTCCTGATAGAGATTCGTTTTTATTTTTTTTAATTCTTTATTTTTACAGTAATGCCACAACAGCATTCTTAGACAATTTGAACATACAGGTTTTTGACTGTTAGGTAGCATTTAGATGGTACGCACATGTTTTTAGATTAATACAACAGGCTAGATACATGCTGGTTAGTTATAATGAATTATTCTGTTGTTTGGTAACAAGTTTGGTAGTTTGGTAGTTATAGTGAGCGTCATCGCTTTAGCTTCGGACCCTCGGTATAATTACGCTTAAAGGGACACCCTAGGCACTGTATCTGCTTCATCTCATTAATCTGGTTATAGTGTCTGGAGTCCCTGGTACCATCATTTCTTTTAGCATTAAACATTTTCTAATGTTCTAATGCTAAACAAGAGCCCCAGGCAGTTCATCCCCTCTGTGCTGCTTTGGCTAAAAAGGAAGTATTAGCCTGTGCAGCAATGGGCAACTGTGATTGGCTGAGAGTGTCAGCTGACTGCTTTCAGCCTGTCAAAGCTCCAACTGACGGTATGAATGGGTATGACAACAAGGAAGTGTGTAATCTCTGCCTTAGCTACACATATAGAAGGGGCCGGACTGTGGGTGGCCAGGGACTCTTATTTTGTGGCATACTGCACGAACATGGTAAAACACTGAATGGAGGGACAGTGTCAGGGCACTCCAGGCACTATAACCAATTCAAAGAGATGAAATGGTTATAGTGACTACAGTGTCCCTTTAACTATGCTTAAATGAGGGATATATATTTCGACCAGTAACCAACAGCCTGTCTAACTAATCATATCCTACAGTAAGGAAGCCTTTAGTTCACACGTCAAATATTGCATCAATCGTTCGTTAAATCGCATTAATGAGATGAGTTAAATAAGCTTATTCAGATCCTGCATTTGTTATAGTAGTTAAACAAGGATTAGACATGCTTTTGTGAGTCCAGTAAATGACAGTTATCTAAAGACAGGAGGGTTAGATTGACAAGATGTGTACTCAAGTTTACAGGGTGATCTATAGGCAAGCTTGTGGATGGAGTGTATCACCAGGTGGCAGATCTCATACGATAATGGCACAAAGTTCCTGAGGGTAAAATGGTTGCAGGTAAGACAGTCTCGGTAGTAGGTAGTCCCTCTATAGATGGGTAAAAGATATCCCCTTCAGCTACAGATTTGTTGTGCCAGGGTGCCTGTCGCTGGGTGCTGGGCTAGTTCTCTGCTGTGTGTGAGGATCTCCCCGACAACAGTGGTTTGGGCGGTTGCTCGTCTGCTTCTCCACGTGCCGGTAAGCCCCACGGTGCGGTAGTGGTTGCGGGCGGCTGATGTATCTGTAGGACGTCTTGTTTCCCTGCCCGGGGGAGGGAGGAAGTGCCAGGACCCCGCGGGAGGTAACTGAGAGTCCAGTCATAGTGGAGGTCAGTGGCTTGTTGGGGTTCGAGGGTGCTTGCAAATGGATGACTGCCGTCTGTGCCGTGGGTGCATACAGTCTGCCTTTTGTGCTGCCGATGTGGTTAAGTAACCTGTGGAGGCTCTGGTCTTGACGCCATCGCACATGGCCTCCGCTATCTTGGTTCCAGTGCCTGGCTTGCGGGTCTTGGCGGCCCCCGAGGTGGTTGGGTACCAAGGGTAGGGACCGGGATAACCCCCCGGTCCAGAGGGGGGGTACGGGGCCGGTTCCCCGAGGGTCTGACTCTGAACGCTGAGCGGCAAGCGGCGGCCGTCCGCCCCGCTCACCGCCGGAGTAGGCCTTGATAATGTCAGTGAGGAATCCTCCTTCAGGGGACTGAAGCCCGTTGGGCCAGCCTCACCCTGGATCCAGGGCTCTCTGCCCGCTGAGGGCCACCGTTGCCGGCTGGTTTTGTGTCAAAAATCATAATTTTATAGCTTGTTTAGTCTTAGGCTGCAGGAGCTGGTCTCGCTTGCTTTTTTTAACTGCTTCCACTGAGTGTTTGAAAGGCAGCACAGCTGCAGGGTTCTGTGTTCTGAGACTGATCAGAGGTGTACCAACGCAGAGGTTAATTTGTGACTTGGAAAGAATTCTAGCAGCATTCTAAGAAGGAAACCGGAGCCGTGATTATTACATTTTAACGCTAAACACAATTTAATAGAGAGGTTGAAGAATTTTAGCAAATCATACATTCGTGGCAGATAACATACGCTATTGGTTCACAGCTCTTATTTCTCTTAAATCCAAGTGTGTCTTTGGGCCCATAAACAATTATATACAGCTACAGAGACACATTTTTAAACACATGACAACAGACATCAGCTTTTCTCACCTGTATACTTTCAAAGATATGCTCGAACGCTCTGGGGATAATTCCTCTCTGTGCAGGGGGGTGAGATATGCCCTGCATACTGAACGATTTGCCACTGCCAGTCTGTCCATAGGCAAAAATGGTACCATTATACCCCTCAGTCACTCCCTGTGCAAAGAAAGTGAATCTTTTACAAACAAATCACCATTATAGGCACATTCCCTGTACCTCAAGGTGTAGAAAGCAATGGGTTGAGGGGCGTGGACTGGATTTGGGAAACGTTTAGAGTTTGAGATAAGGTTTGGAACAAGAATAGGGATTTGGAATACTGAGTTTCTATAATAACATTTGTGACAAACAAGCCATGCTTTAGATTTATTTATTGTTAGCAATGTAACGCCACCATGCAATCCCTAGTCACCTCACCACTAGCCACACTTTAAAACCATAGCTGTTATGTCCTCACTTATTGTTTCCCTCATTTAAATAAAAGGCTTAATACTGATTGATTGAATCCTGACCGGCTTTAAACCTAAAACCTTTTAGGGTTTGGCATTCAAACATTTCCAGTGGAACATTCCTCGTGTGCCATTGGAGAAGTTTGAAATGGGCTGAAATACTAATTTGTAACATATTGCTGTGTCTTCCTGCACAACATGGAAAATGTAAAGCAACACCATAACCACTACAGCTTATTGTATTATCACAGCTAATTGTATTATCGAAGCTAATTGTAACTATCTGCTCACCTTGGCACCCAAAGGCCCGCCCTCACATGCCACTTTGTAATGGTTTACCTGTGTATTATATTTAACAAGCTATCGGACCTTGGACACAATGATGGGCTGTGAGCCTTGAGATAGACACACCACTGATTTCAAACACTTTCTTTCGAAGGGTAAAGAAGTCTGAAGCCTACCTAGAATGTAACAGGACTCTGAAGGCCTCAGAGAGGAAGCTGCTTTTTCACAGCATTCGTGAAAAAATCAATATCTTCCCACAAGATGTCCCCAACCACAGACTCACCTCAACCAAAGGATAGGCTATTTCATTATAGATCTGCTCGGTGCAGTGCTCAGTGTAATACGCTCCATCGAAGGTGAACTGTTTGGGGGTGTCTTCAGGAGCTTCAGGCTTTCTGATAAAGCACTGACCTCGGCTGCTGTCCATGGTGACCACAGCTTCACAATTCAGCTCTCGTTCTCTCTCGTTCATGGGACGGCAACGCACAACCACTTTCACACATTCTGCAGCCATTGCTCACGCTAGTCTGTTAAAAAAGGGAACGATGACGATGTAAGACACTCATTTATCTGGAGCTATGGTTCTTAACTCTGAGTTCAAAAATCAAGCCCCCACTGGTTGGACCAGTCACATCACATCTACCAGGCCTCAGGCAAACACCCACAATACATGGGTACTGTCCCACTCAGACCCAGGAAAACTCTAATGGGTCCCATATTAACCGTGCATAATAATCTGATCTCTTCTACACAAACACATACTTATTAACCTGAGATCTATATGGACCCAGTGTCTCTCTCCCAGTATTTACCCGGGTTCTATATGGACCCAGTGTCTATCTCCCAGTATGTACCCAGGATCTATATGGACCTAGTATCTCTCTCCCAGTATTTACCCAGGTTCTATATGGACCCAGTATCTCTCTCCCAGTATTTACCCAGAATCTATATGGACCCAGTGTCTATCTCCCAGTATGTACCCAGGATCTATATGGACCTAGCATCTCTCTATATATGGACCCAGGATCTATATGGACCCAGTATCTCTCTCCCAGTATTTACCCGAGATCTATATGGACCCATTGTCTCTCTCCCAGTATTTACATGGGATCTATATGGACCCAGTGTCTTTCCCAGTATTTACCCGGGATCTATATGGACCCAGTGTCTCCCTCCCAGTATTTACCCGGGATCTATATGGACCCAGTATCTCTCTCCCAGTATTTACCCGGGATCTATATGGACCCAGTGTCTCTCTCTCAGTAGTTACCCGGTAACGTATTTGGACCCAGTGTTTCTCTCCCAGTATTTACCCAGGATCTATATGGACCCAGTTTCTCTCTTCCAGTGTTTACCCGGGATCTATATGGACCCAGTGTCTCTCCCAGTATTTACCCGGGATCTATATGGACCCAGTGTCTCTCTCCCAGTATTTACATGGGATTTATATGGACCCAGTTTCTCTCTTCCAGTATTTACCGGGGATCTATATGGACCCAGTGTCTCTCCCAGTATTTACCCGGGATCTATATGGACCCAGTGTCTCTCTCCCAGTATTTACATGGGATTTATATGGACCCAGTGTCTTTCCCAGTATTTACCCGGGATCTATATGGACCCAGTGTCTCTCTCCCAGTATTTACCGGGGATCTATATGGACCCAGTGTCTCTCCCAGTATTTACCTGGGATCTATATGGACCCAGTGTCTCTCTCCCAGTATTTACCTGGGATCTATATGGACCCAGTGTCTCTCTCCCAGTATTTACCCGGGATCTATATGGACCCAGTGTCTCTCTCCCAGTATTTAACCGGGATCTATATGGACCCAGTGTCTCTCTCCCAGTATTTACCCGGGATCTATATGGACCCAGTGTCTCTCTCCCAGTATTTACCCGGGATCTATATGGACCCAGTGTCTCTCTCCCAGTATTTACCCGGGATCTATATGGATCCAGTGTCTTCTCCCAGTATTTCCCAGATCTATATGGACCCATCTTCCAGTATTTACCGGGATCTATATGGACCCAGTGTCTCTCTCCCAGTATTTACCCGGGATCTATATGGACCCAGTGTCTCTCCCAGTATTTACCTGGGATCTATATGGACCCAGTGTCTCTCTCCCAGTATTTACCCGGGTTCTATATGGACCCAGTGTCTATCTCCCAGTATGTACCCAGGATCTATATGGACCTAGTATCTCTCTCCCAGTATTTACCCAGGTTCTATATGGACCCAGTATCTCTCTCCCAGTATTTACCCAGAATCTATATGGACCCAGTGTCTATCTCCCAGTATGTACCCAGGATCTATATGGACCTAGTATCTCTCTATATATGGACCCAGGATCTATATGGACCCAGTATCTCTCTCCCAGTATTTACCCGAGATCTATATGGACCCATTGTCTCTCTCCCAGTATTTACATGGGATCTATATGGACCCAGTGTCTTTCCCAGTATTTACCCGGGATCTATATGGACCCAGTGTCTCCCTCCCAGTATTTACCCGGGATCTATATGGACCCAGTACCTCTCTCCCAGTATTTACCCGGGATCTATATGGACCTAGTGTCTCTCTCTCAGTAGTTACCCGGTAACGTATTTGGACCCAGTGTTTCTCTCCCAGTATTTACCGGGGATCTATATGGACCCAGTTTCTCTCTTCCAGTGTTTACCCGGGATCTATATGGACCCAGTGTCTCTCCCAGTATTTACCCGGGATCTATATGGACCCAGTGTCTCTCTCCCAGTATTTACATGGGATTTATATGGACCCAGTTTCTCTCCCAGTATTTACCGGGGATCTATATGGACCCAGTGTCTCTCTCCCAGTATTTACCGGGGATCTATATGGACCTAGTGTCTCTCTCCCAGTATTTACATGGGATTTATATGGACCCAGTGTCTTTCCCAGTATTTACCCTGGATCTATATGGACCCAGTGTCTCTCTCCCAGTATTTACCGGGGATCTATATGGACCCAGTGTCTCTCCCAGTATTTACCTGGGATCTATATGGACCCAGTGTCTCTCTCCCAGTATTTACCTGGGATCTATATGGACCCAGTGTCTCTCTCCCAGTATTTACCCGGGATCTATATGGACCCAGTGTCTCTCTCCCAGTATTTAACCGGGATCTATATGGACCCAGTGTCTCTCTCTCAGTAGTTACCCATGATCTATATGGACCCAGTGTCTCTCTCCCAGTATTTAACTGGGATCTATATGGACCCAGTGTCTCTCTCCCAGTATTTACCCGGGATCTATATGGACCCAGTGTCTCTCTCCCAGTATTTACCCGGGATCTATATGGATCCAGTGTCTTTCTCCCAGTATTTAACCGGGATCTATATGGACCCAGTGTCTCTCTCCCAGTATTTACCCGGGATCTATATGGACCCAGTGTCTCTCCCAGTATTTACCCGGGATCTATATGGACCCAGTGTCTCTCTCCCCGTATTTAC